TTTAAATCTTGGCCTCTGGGGCTCCCCGCCACTCCGTCACTTCCTCCCTCGAGGCGCTTCCGGGCACGTGACCCCCTCCCCCTAGCGCCGCTTGGCGTTGCCCTGGTGACGGCAGCCGCGAACCCGGCGGGACGCGGGTTCGGGACCGGGACCGGGAGGGGGGGGCCTCCAGGGCCCACCCCGCTCACCCACCCGGCCCTCCTGGGGGAAGGGGGGCTCAGTACATCGGCCGTGGCCTCCCCCCCCGGGGAAGGGGACCAAGGCGTCAAGGTCTTGACCGGCACCGCAGCCTGGCTGCGCGGCAGGCGCAGAGCGCGCCTCGCCGTCCAGAGCAGATGTCCTCTGTGCCGGGACGCGCGTCACGATCGGCCCTTCCGGAGACTGGTTCACCTTGTTAAACACTAGTAGTTTTTCTGTAGGTCGTAAAATGTTTGTCTTGGTGCCTAGAACAAGCTTTGATGAACAAACAGGACGCAGCCGTAATAACGGTGACTGGGAGGTTTTCTGCCCTGGTCACGTAGGGCGCATGTAGGGGTGCACAGGGGAAACCTGCATAAACCAGGGAGAGAAACCACAGTGCCAGAGCTTGCTGGCAACTTTGAGAAGCTGCGCTGTGCAGGCACTTGGGCCTTGCTTCCCCCGATGACTCTCGAAGAACTTCAGTTGTTCTGTCAGTTGCCTGGCTTAGGGGAAGAGTGGTCATAAGAGGGTAAACTTACTCGTTTTAAACAATAGTGTTGTAGTCAGCATGACTGTTTCTAAGATAATGAGACATGCCCGGTCAGGTCAGACCAGTGGCTCGTCTTGATGAGAGCTGGTGAGTTTCCTTTGAGGGTGATGGCTTATGCACCAAGGAGGGGTGGGAAAAAGCAAAAAATGAGCAGAAATGAATCGTGCTCCATCTCCATGTACAAGGTGCAGAAGCTCAAGCACTGCTGAGGCTATAAGCATTGTACATGCTCCTCCAAATGACATGTTTGAGCAAGAACATTGCATCTGGCTCAGTAATGAAAGTGCTGGACTGTCAATTCACAGGAGATCCAGTCCCCTTGACTTGGAATCACAGAATGACATTTGCTGCTGCCTGAAAAGCAGCAGAACACACCGTACAGGAGGGCGTTTGGGCTGTTAATCAAACGTACCTGCCCTAAATGCTGGGTGTTCTTTTTTAATTCAGATTAATTATAAAAAAACTGTCTGGCTGATTCTCTTAAAAAAAGAAGAAAAAAAGCTATAGGAGATATTTAAGGCTATTCAAAATAAAAGGTCAGATAGTGATCAAAGGAACAATGACAAGGCAGGGAACCCAGTCAAAGTAATCCCTGTGAATCAACCACTCCTAAAACCCCCAAGGACTGGAGGAACGACTAAGCCATTTGTCCCTGTTGCAAAACCCACCGAAGTGGATTCAAGGGAGGAAACTCTCTGGAATCTATGCAAACGAAGGGGAACTACTGCAATAAAGAGGCTTTAGGATTTACTGGGGGGTGCTTGGCGGGAGGGGGGGCGGGGCGGGGAAGATGTTGGACTCGATAAAGAGAATTAGAGGATTTACAAGACCACACAGGTATGTTTGGGGTAGGAATCACAGGCAGGGAAGTGGAGGAATCAAGGTGGATCACAGACGAACAAGCATGGGAAAATGGAGAGAAGAGGGGGATAAACTAAGCAGGTCAAATGCAATCAGTATGTTTATCTGGACAAGTTTTGCACCTGATCACCAGAGTCTGTACTATATTCATAATAATTTATTTGAATTATTTTCTTGTGTGATTGTGCTCTCTGTTGTGTGCATGTGTGCGTGATCCAGTAACAAACTTAGGCCTGTCTAGCCAGCGAGTAGGATGAAAGGTCTGGTGGGGGCAGAATCCCAAGAGACCCATGAAGGCACGTTTCTCTGAGTGCTGGTCCTTAGGAAAAGGATCAGGCTACTGACACTCTGTGTTTATATGGGTGTCTTTGAGGTACTGTCTCCCCTCAGCATTAACCTGTGTGTGCGTGTCTATTGTGAACTTGTGCACCACCCTGCTACTGGTGGGATGTGAAAGAGAAGTAAGAAATTCCCACCCATCTCCATCAGAAGGAAGAAGCCTCAGGATCTTTCAGTCCACCAGATTCAGCTGCCCTTAATACTTCTCGGGGAAAGCAGGTGCACCTGGCCAATATCTGCAGTCCATTCCCCTTGTTCTACTCCCACATCCAAGCATGGTAGTAGGGAAGGTGGAGGAGACATCACAACCTGTTCCCTTTGGTATAGACTGGTTTTCCATTAGTTTGTCTATGAGCTTTTTGAACCTGCTGATATTATTGGCTCCTGTAACTCCTGTAGCAGTAGGTTCTTGTAGTGTAAAGTATCTTTTTTGTTCGTTTTGATTACCAGCTAGTTTTGTCACATGCCCCCAGTCTGCCGTGGAAAGATTTGCTGAAGAACAGTTTTCCATTCACTTTATTATCCACCACCTTCATTACTTTTTTAAATCTCAGTCCCTCATCTGCTCACCAAATTCTGCTCATTCTGCTTACCAAATGGTGGAATCCCAGCCCTTTTAGTGTCTCCTGATGAAGCACTTGTTCCATCCGATAATTCTTGTCACCCAGGCTCATGCTACAAGGGTCTGGCTGGAAACCTGTCAAGCGCTATGTCTGAATATAAGCCAGGATTTGTTTCATAGGTAGCATCGCTTGCTTGCATTTTAGGTGCAGATCTTCCCAGCTCTGGGCTTCTCAGCAAGAAGCAGCCCATTTTCATTCCAATGACTTCCCTGCCCCTCCCAACCCATTTTAGCAAAGGAGTTTTGCTGGAGAAATGGCATCTTGCAGAGCAAGTCACGGAGCAATGGTGACACTCAGTGGCCCTGCAGGAAAAGTGCACCTTCTGAGTTCACATTTTTTTCTAATTTATCAGGAAGAAAGTGGTAGCCAATGAACCTCATACGCAGGTGAGTGAACAGCACTGCTTAGCATAAGGATGAGTCTGCATACTGTGCCGTACAGATTCATATAGTGCAAGCATACAAATAGACATCTAGCCTAGGTATGTGCATTTGCCACCTTTCCCTCTCCCACACTCATTTACTCACTTCAGTCTGGAGGTGAGACCATCACCTTCAGGTACGTCAGAAGGAAAACCCTTTCTCTTGTGGTGGGGAAGACTGGAGTTTTCATACATACTGTTAGAGAACATGGCAGCTTGTAATGTATTCAGCCCCAGCCGCCAAGAGCTAATCCTTTGATCTAGACCATGGAGGTGCAAGGGGAGCCAGAAATCTGATTCAGACTGACCTCCAAGCCTGGGACGTCCTTCTGCTCAGAGAAGAGGTTGACATTATTCCCAGTTTACTGGGACATACAGGTGGGATAAGTCTACATTGCAATTACTGCAATGCACTTCTTACAGGCTGCCCAGATCTCTGCTTATGGTACCCTCACCTTCCCACACGTAGACAAGAGCCCATCCACAGCCTCACCACATCACTGGATCTCTTCAGCAGCCTCCTGCTAGCCCTGGCCGGTCTGGCCCATCACCATCTCCAGAAGGAAGAAGCTGGACAGGAGATGATCATAGCAATGCCAGGGCCTAATTGCCATTCTGTCCTGCCTCTGAGCAAAAGCTCATCTGACTGTGCTAGTTTCTAAGTCTTCCTCTGACCTCTCCAGCCCCACATTTCAGACAAGTCTTCATATACCACCACGTCTCCCATATCCCTGCCCTACACGTTGTTTCTTGCATGACTGATCCTAGTGTGGATCTGCGCTTCCTACCAGTACAAGGCTTCTGCAAGTTTGCAAGCTGAAAAAGTAGAGAGGCTGCAACCACGGGTCTGCTCATCTTTGTTTCCCATCCCTCAGAAAAACAGGTCAGTGCCTGCCAAACCACCTTTTTGCTCCCTGCAGGGAGTGGGAAATTGGAACACATAAAGGGAAGACGAGAATGCTTTGTCTGTGTCTGAAGGGCCAGCACCAGGGGTCAGTTACCTGCAGTACCCTGAAGGCACCCTTCTCCTCACCACCACCTTTAAGATGTGACCTGCATATGAAAAGAAAACCAGGCCAACAAGCAAAAGCTGATTCATATCAGTCTACTTCCAAATGTTACTGGGCCTGGCCACCAAGACAGTATCAACTACATTGCTTATCAACATAAGAGAGAATGTGGGAATAAGCCCACCCTGCGGCAAACTCTACAACACAAGAAGTCACAAGTTTTAGACTTTTCTCGGGAAAGAAGCCTCTTTGAATGTCAAAGGTAAGGCACATTCCAGGGCCTCTACCCTTAACTTGAAACAAACCACGTTAACAAAAGAAATCCGAGCATGCTTTAAAAATTACTTATTCATCTATTGCATGTCTTGGATTTAACTGTGGGTTGGTACAAACACCTTGATTTAGCTATTTGAGCTTGGTAGAAAACTAACCTATTAGCAAGCCATCACATGTGAGTCTGCAGGTATGCTTACCCTGCACAGAGACAGTACAGATCAGGAGATGGATCCATGGAGTCTCACATGGTTCTCAGTAGTAGCTATTTTAAAAGTCTTACTGTCCTTCAGCTACATGAGAAAAATCTAGGTCACTGTTTACCTCAAAAAGGAGAAAAAAAAACCTTGGAATAAACCTTAGACTCTGTATATTGTCAACGGTCCCCAGTAACAAGCTTTACAATTCCAAACTACAGCTCTGCAGTTTTGTATTTCTTTCCTGTTTGGAGGGCAAAAAGTCAGAGAAATAAGGAAGGCAGATTCACAAACTATTGCTCTTTCTCCAAACTGGAGCATGTTAGTTGAGCATACACTAATATGCATGAGTCAGGAGAGAAGGCATGGGTCCAAGCTTCCAGGAGAATTTGCGACTGAGTGACAACAGACAACTCATTTGTCCTGTGTCCTGACTTCTCTGTGGATGAGGGCTCCTTTCAGTTTTCCATACAACCATTGCAGAGGCTCTGTGAAAGCCTAGGAGACTGATCTCTTCTGCACCCGCTAAAAGCAGTGTAGTCTTTCAGTCCTATTTGCACAGTACTGGCAGATAACCACAAAGGCCCAAATAAGCCATATGCATCAAACTTTTATGATTTATCAATGCTTCAGTGGATCCCTACATGTTCGATGTACAAACTATCTTCTTCATGTAGAGATTTTAAGTATGCCATTTATTTTTTATAATAGCGCCCTAGCAAGGTCAGAATCCATTTGGGGCCATCTTGTGTGCTTACAGTCCTCCTCCTTGTAAGGGCCCTACTTCCCACTCCTTTTAAGAGCTTTTATCTGCAGAAAAATCCCTTGCTATCTGAGATGCTAGTTACCAGATTGCCTGTTAGCTGCCTCCTGTACTATGCTCTTCAGGACCTTCTTTTTTGCAGGCTGAAGCTGCAAATCTTTGCAGGAAATTTCCCAATTGCCTCCAGGCCACCAAGACCCACACAGCAGCTGTGGTGAGGTGATGGGAAGAAGTCTCCTGGCCATCTGCCAGCTATTCATACCCCACCTTTGCTTACACCTAACAAAGGTTCCTTTCTTGCACTGGAAGGTGTTTCCTATGAATGTCACCAAGGATGAGGAGCACCTTTCTACAGTCAGCAGAACTGAGCAAGTGTCAGATTGCCCACCCAGCACAGACTAGCCACTTACTGCATTCCCTAATGTTTGCTCCAAGAGGTGAAAAACTCACTGACTTCTACTGTACACTCCTGTCTTAAGGAAGCTCGCCACACAGCAGCTCTTTTTCAACCCTCTGCTTTGCCAGCTTCCTCAGCCCCTCTCATATGCAGCTGAACAACATCAATCTGATTTGAAACCACAGCCAGGAAACATCTGTTTGAATTCACATTCCACATGCTTAATTTCCTTACTTACCTACCCCACACAGGTACAAGGTGGCAAGACTTCCTGTCATCAGAAGGAGAGGAATCTTGGTGGGCCTGTCTCTGTTCAGATATAATATCATGGCCATCTGATGATATAAACTGTAGAATTACAGACCCTTGACACATGTGCGTCTGGAGGCAAGAGAGCCTGGCTCATGGGCACACTGAGCACGCTGCGTTACAGCTTTCGATTTTTATTTATAACCTTCCTATCTGAAGTTCAACCAGATTAGAGGACTTTCCTCCTGAAGCTACTTCAGTCCAGCCCAAATACCCAGAGGAAGAAACTTGCCAGGAAGGCAACTGGGAGATTCTAGGGTCCGCTTTTCTGCCTTGTCCTTTCCTGTCCATTGGCAGAGCACCACCGAACAGTCCCTATCGTCTCCCACGCTGTCTTGGGAAGGGGCAGTGCTAAGGGAACGCTCCTTAGAGGCTCGTTCCAGTTCCTTCATATTTTTGCTCGCTTGAACTCAGCCCTGTCCTCTTTTTGTATCAGTTGTCTACAGAATCACTTGGTTCCTCAGGTTTTCTGCTTCCCCTAAATGCTTGTTAGGCACTGCTGTGAGACTTTTATTTTCCTTTTTTCTTGCCCCTACTGGACAGCCCCAAGAACAACGATGAGTAGGGGAGGAAGGGCTGGCTCCGCCCGCTTTATGGACAGATTGCTCTGAATGGTCAGAATAAAAATAGATTTACTGTCCTCTTGCAAGTTCTGTTGATCAGGCGAAGGGCTGCTACACAGGGATCCCCCAAACAACTGTGGTCACATGATTTGTTTCACTTTATCTTCCTTTTCCCCCCTTTTTTCTCTCCTAGGTACTTTCTCTTTAGAAGCATCATCACTTCCCAAATACACAGCCCACCTTGTTCACTTTTTCTCTGTTAGTCCTGGGTTTGTTGACTTCATAGCCTTGCTTCATATTTACAGCATGACTGCTCTGGTAACTTCTCCCTTGGTAATCAGCTCTATAAAACTAGAACCTAGTCAGTTGAGAAGGTAGACCAGGGATGAGAGTCGGGGAGGAGAGGAAGACTTAAGCCACTATGGTACCAAAAGCAAAGTATGTAACCATGACCTGAGTAATGTTTCTCTCTTTTTCAGGCATTAAAATCCCTGCAGACTTCACAATTGTCAAGTCACTGACCTCATTCCAGGTTCCACATACTTTACTTCACTTGATCCCACACTACTGTGTATCAAGCCAGGTTTCACGTAGAAACTTAGGGTATAGATCAAAGGAAATAGGGTGCATCCAACACAGCAGGGAAGAGGAAAGCCAGAGCAATGAAGTTTTCCTTATCGAAGCAGAAAACTCAGATTATTGGTTGCAGATCCAGGGCATTCTAGTAGGAACCCTTCTTCAAGACATCTGTGGAAAGAAAGAGCAAGAAAAGGCAAAGTGCCTGATTAATTTTTAGGAAGCTATCTAAGGACTAAGAGATCTTAGGGGCTGAGTTGCAATATCTTTTTGTCATTGACATAGGCATTTCCAGTTGCATTCAGATTTGGGATGCTGCGAGGACTGCACATGTAAGGAGTGCATAGAAATGGAATAAAAATAGATCTTTTTAACCTTCCATGGTATGCTCATGCCTTGGTCTGCATTGAGATTATACCTGGGGTAGAAACTGTGCCCACAACTAGTGCAGTAGATTCCAATTCAACCTGCAGTCAAAGAAGGCTCTACAGCACATGATGGAATTAAATACAGAGCAGAGGTGGGTTGCTTTGCTTGCTTACCACCAGTCCTCTGCTCTGTATCAGCTGTTCCTACCTTGGAAGCCTGTTAACACTAACCTGAACTGTAAGGGAAACCGTATTCTCTTGCTGCGCGGTCATCTGTAGAAACAAAAGAGGAAGGGTGGTGAGCAGCAGAACTGCATGGTAGGGTAATGCCAAGCTTCTTTCTCTTTAACACAACCATTCCACTACCTTAATTTTTTACTCTTCAGACTGTGAGTGCAGGAACAGAAGAATGTCTACAGTGGGTCAGACCAACGGTCTGTCTCCCCAGCCTGTCTCACATACGGCTGTAAAAGACCCTCTTATACATTGTGATACCTTCTAATGCAAGGACATTTTTGTAAACAGAGAACCTCTCAGTAGTGTGTCCTGATAGCCTTGCTTTTTTACTGATAATTAGTATTTTCATGTCAGAAAACAATTTTTAAATTGTAGGTACTAAGCACAAAAATTCTTGTACAGGATGGAATAGCAAAGAGAGAGCATATTAGGTGACCATATTTAGCTCTCTAAAGGTTGGATTAAGAAGTCTCCTCCTCTTCTTGACATGGTGTGGAAGGGGAAACAAGAATGGAATTCAGTATACAACATGTAGGCCTGTGGTGCTGCTTTCTAAATCTCCAGTGGTAGTTTTTCCATTTTGTTCTCAAATTCTTTTTTTAAAAGAATTCTTAATGTTCCATCTGCTATTTTGGCTCATACTGAGCACGGAATAATCAGAGAGACTCAGAGTGACTCCAAGATCTCTCTTCTGTGTGCTGATAGTTCATTTAGAGCTTTAAAGGATAAGAAGTTATCTTCCTATTATCCTCTGAGACGTGGCATCACCCAATGGATGGTAAGATTATTACACTATACATGAAAAGCATAGAACTAAATTCTGCCTTCTGGTGGATCAGGGTGGCAGCATGTAACACTGATTTTAAATAAATGCCTATGTATTTTCAAGAGAGCTAAGGAGCTGGAGAAGACATGGTAAATTGACAGAGAAGCTTTCTTTCCACAGAGATGAAGCTTAAAACTAGAGGAAATCAAAAAACACAGTCATTTTGAACACATACACACCACAACATAATCATAGTGCCAGGCAGTCTCATCTCAAGAACAGAAAACCAAGTGATTCTGCTACTTGAATCTGGAAGTTTTGTACAGAGGAAACCCGAGCTTGGAGTTGCAGGAGGAAGTGCACTGGAATAAGGGAGATAAGGGAATAAGGGGCATAGACAGAACTGTGTCTGAGGCGGGGGTATGATAGTTATTCTTTGCCTATGTCAGTGAAATCTCACCAGGCTTATAGTAGTCGTAGACATACACTGTTGCCAGTTTCAGGTTCTGCACTGCAACATCTTGTTGCACTGAGATGTTAAGCTTCAGAGAAGTCTTACCGAGCTGGAGAGAAGCATAGAAGTGAGCAGAAATGCACTGGCCATCCCAAAGTCACCTACATACCAACTTCATTCCCTCTACATCAGACACGTCTTTCTCTATCTTTCCAGGTTCTTCCACCCTCTTTTGCCAAAATTTTAGCCTGCTTGACCAGCCTAGAGCTTTGTATTTCTGATCTCTGAGGGTCCCAATGCAAAGTGCTGCAGTTGCTAGTACTTGAATGGGCAGTTCCCTGTCGTTTTCCTCTTACCTCTTCCAAGTAGATTGTGACTTTGTTTGGTTCCATCATCTCTGTCTTTTTCACTAGGGGTACCTTCTCCAGCTGTATAGGAAGACAAGAGATGAGCTTGGTTAGCATCAGCTCATTGGCCTCCCTTGTTGTCTCACACCAAGTTTGGTATTTGCCAGGGAACCACTGCTGACTAAAGCACTTAGCCTAGTCAGGGTAAGGCCTGTGTTCCCCAGTTGTAATGGCATTGAGATTGTTGGGAGTGCACAAAGCCTTAGAAAAGATTTTCTCAGATTTGGAACAAGTGTCCTTAAGCCGCCTTCCTACTTTCAGCACTTGTAGCAACGGGAAAGATGGTTAGTAGGAGGCTATGATGAATCTTCCTGGCTATCTCCTGGAACACTGGAGTATGTCATTGAACAACTCCATGGGATTCAACACCACTTTATGGAGCATCTCTACAAATGGTACTGGCAACAACAAAGGGTGTCAGTGCACCCCAGATGATTCTAACTAGGTGCTTTTCAGCTCCTCTCTAGCCTCTTGCTGCATATGCGATCCTCACTACTGAACATGAAAAACTGCACAATCCATTCTGCAAGTGGAAAATTGCCTTGTGAAATAGCCCACTATACATATATATATAAGCTATATATAGCTTTGTTTAGTTAATTTGTGGCAAGATAAGTAGCTACCATTCTCCAGCAGTTCTTAGATGTTTTGAGCTACATCTGGAAAATAGATTTTCATATCTTCAGGGAAGGCCAGAGGAAAAAGTCTTACCGCTTTCACAGATCTCTTCACAGGAATGAACCCTGACAGCATCTCCACCTCCACCAGGGCCATGTTACTGGTCTCACGTTCCCCTACATAACTGAAAAAAGGCAGGAGAGAAGCACATTAGATGTTGAAGGTATCACAGCATTTCTAGGAGATACTAATGAACACTTCCAAACTCTGGCTTGCCCTACAGTGATGTGAAAGCTCAGCAGCATGTCTAACTGATGGGAGAAAAGGACAAAAAATCGCCCCCATCTATTTGCTCAATATGGAGACAGATTGTGCAGCAAATGTGTTATGGTTAATCTTCATGCTGCCCTCTCCAAGAGGTGGAAGGGATCTTTGATGTTACAGGTTGAGAACAGCAATGTTGGCAGTGTTCTCTTTCAGGACAGTAGGGCATGGAGAATATGGACCAAGACACTCATCCTAGACAGATGCAGGTAAGTGAAATATGGATAGGGACTGGAGTTTCTGCTGTCTGGTTCCAGCAGAGGTTCACGCTGCAGGAGAATGCATCTCAGGGCTGGTTCAGCCCAGGCTGCCGAGTGTTCCCCAAGGGGTGAGCTCTGGCTCTTGGGAACGCTGCCATGTCAGCTGCTAGTGCTCTGGGGGCTGCTGAGCTGCTCCATGCTGACTGAGATAGTTGCTGTGGTTCTGCAAGCCACTGCCAGTGCGTTCCCATGCTTCTCCAGGCCTTAACTCTCAGTTCATCATCTCATAGTGATCTATGGATAAGAAGAGAGTCTTCCCCTGTGTCTTTGCCTCCAGAGACAGGAGGTTTTTATGGGGTTCTGGTCATACTACTGGGGCTCCTACTTCTTTCCACTGAAGAAAGAGCCTCAAGGGATCTCATACCTGACAGACACATGGATGTCAAGCTGTTTCCTGACACCATCACATTCTCTTGGTACTGTTTCCACATCCAGGACAAAGACCTCTTCTCTTTTTGGTGGTGGGGTGTTATAGTACAAAGTGGTCTGGTGGGGGAGAAAACATCTCTGTGAAGTGCCCTGAAGCTTCCCTGTATGAGATAAAGGACTACCTGTGCCACTAGCTTTTAACAAATCAGTAACCAGTGGCTAACACAGTTGTCCTCAGCTGTGCTTTCTGTTCAGACATGTGCTGTTTAGCACTTGGCATCAGATACATCTCCCAGATGTAACCCTCAGCACTGAGGCTCAGCTGTCTGTGATCCAAGGCTTCACTCAGTACAACATTGTCTCAGCCTTACTGAAAAAAAATATTGTTAAGGCGTGAGAAAGTACATTAGCTAAAACCCTTCCCACAAGGAGAAAGAAGTGTAACTGTTGACTGTTGACATGGCAATAGTTAGTAGTTCTAAGTCTCAAGAGGAAAAATACTGACAAAGCAAGTATAAAACCCTTAAGAAAGAAAGAACGAGCAAAGAATCAGAAGAGGACAGCTCAGCAAGAGGGGTGATCACACTCCTCCAAAGAGCAGCATACACCAATCTTCCTCCACCTGCCTGATGACTGACTGCCTGGCCAGCAGATATCAGATATCTTATGCTTGTTGACTATATTCAAGTATAGCCAAGTAGCATGAGTCCTAGTTACCTCCTACATGCATTAACAGTAAATAATTGTTGTGTCCTCTTGTCTAGACACTGCTTGCAGAGTCTCTGTGAGCGTCATAAGAGGTGGTTGAACAGAAGTGACCCAGTGAGGGTGGTTTCCACAGGGAGTGACTTGAGTTCTTTGCTGCATGAATAGCTCACAAGCAGACCACTATCAAAGCTGCCAGAAAAATAAGATGTATTCTCCTGATGGACCAGTTGTGTTGGTGTACTGGGATAAGAAGACCTTGGTTCTACATCACTCCTCATCTCTGCATGTGATAACAACCCAAAGAATATTATGTAAGAAGATACACATTGCTCAGCCCCTGAAGCAGTGACATCAGCAACATTCGATACAGAAGCAGGTACTGTTCTGTATGTCATCACTCCTGACTTGAAATCTACTGATCTCTTCACAATGGCATGGCTCTGTAGCATGGGACAGCAAAGCTGAGACATTTCTGAGAAGAAGATTCCATAGATGGTTGCAATAAAACCATGTCAACAGAGTATACCTGAGCTCCTTCAAGCTTGACATGATTCTGCCTAGAAAGCCAAATCCTACTTATAAATTGAGGCTACAATGCGTGCTTAAATAGTCAGTGGCAAAACCTGACAGCTCTGTTCCTTATATATACTCACCTGTACGTAAACACAGCCACTGCCGGTCGCCTGCACTGTGTACATCCCTGGGACTGCAAGGAGAGGTGCCTGATGCAGGACCAACTTGTTGTTCCTGTGCACATGGAACTCCAATGGAGAAGCCTCCTTGCCTTTCACTGTCACCTCCACATCTCTGATCTCCTGAGGAATCAGCGCTGCATACTGAGCAAGGGCCTGCAGGCTAACAACTGTGTCCTGAAGGTAGAGAGAGAGTCACTTTGCTGTGGAGCCATGCAGTACAAGATCCTGCACACTAGGTCAGGCACTGCAGGGAGAACCACGCTCCTCGTGGCCCTGATTCACACTCTGACACAGGCGGGTTCTATACCACTAAGTGCATAGGTAGGGTCTATGCCACAGGCAGCAGGATGACTTCTGTTACCTGGAAAGGGTGGCTTCTGAGCCCTGGGGTTACCAGTCCCAGGCCCTGGGTAATCCCAATTACACCACACAGAAAAAGAGTTTCCCCATGGCATTCCCCTTTCCAAGTAGGGCTCATGTATGCCTGTCTGCAAAGGATGGATCTAGAGTGACACGCACATGAGATGTGCACATCACTCCAGGCACAGGATCTCCCTCCTTCCCCCATGACTTTCCCCAGCTTGTTACCTGTGTGGAAGCAAATCCGCCAAAGGCATTTCTTTGTCTGCTGAGCCAGTGCACAAGCTTGTTCACTGAGGCTTCATTGAGTGCAAAGTCTGGTGCGGAGACATGAGCCAGGAGGATGTAGGCTACCGTCTCAATCATAGAAGAAGAAGATTCTTTACTCCTGGAATGTGATGTCAGGAGTTCTGCTGATGGGAGGAGAAACGTGTGGAAGAGAAGAACAGTAGATCCCTGTGAACATCAGCTGCTCCTGCCCTGGTACCCTTCGAGGACTGGCAGTTTACACCATCAGAAACACATGTGCCTTTCCGGGGGACCTCAGAGTGCAGAAGCCAATCCCTCCTGTCGTTTTTGTACTCTGAAGGGCCAGCTATCTGTGATAGGCTCCATTTCTTCCTTTGAAAGCACAGAGATCCAGGCCCCAAATCCTCAACCAGTTAGTTCCCCTAGGAAGGAGTTCCTCTAGAAACTGATTGACTCTGAACAGAAGCTTTTTGTTTAACATACAGTCCTATTTTTATTCAGCTCTGTGTATATTCAAAGCTATGTCCCCAAGCTATGGTATTTTTGCTGTTTCTGCATTTACCAAGGATAATCTAACAGGGCTCCCTGTGCTGAAAAGCTCTAGGACTCATTTCCAGTCAGTTGTTATCTGTTGTACAAGAATTGGTCACTCTTTGAGGGAGAATTGCTGTTGGGCTACCGGAGGAGCAAGAATACCCAATTTATTTTGTTGGCATCCTCACTATGCAGTGCATATGTAGGACAATTTAAGTTACACCTGGGCTCCCACCTATGTTCCAAGCTCACAGGCAATGAATACATGAAAGTCTGGTTGAATGTTTTGCTGTAGTGATAGTAGGGGGCTAACCAAAATTCAGCTAAGATTTTAGCTTAATTGTGCCAATGTAGACATCTGCAATGGTACAAATGTGAAAACCCAAAATGCTTTTAAATTCAAAGTCAGTTTTCAAAACAAACCATCACTTTTGAAATAAGAATCACATAATCACTTGTTTGCATAAAAGCAGCATAAAGACTTTAGAATTTAGCTCAGGGACTCTATGGACCGGTATTACTTCATCATTTTTATCACAATGGAAGGTTTTTGCCTGAGGGATTTGTGATTTGTTGCTTCCAAGGTGACATAACCAGAACAATTTTTTCATGAAGTGGTAGAAGGTGTCTTGGTGATGCAGCTATAGGTGACCTACAGATGGTGGCTGCAGTCACATCCTCAGAGTCAGTGGGCAGAACACAGACACATTTAAACATGGAGGACAACACCTTTCCCTCACAACTCCATTGCTCTTACCAAGTCATTGCTAACTATTATCAGTGGAAGCAAGAGCCAAAGAAAACTATCACTTGACCCATAGGCAGTTTGTAGTGCTCCATGCCCTAGGACCTTAAGGGGACATTTTCCAAAGTGCTTGGTAAGTTAGAAGCATCAGACTGACTGGACATCAGTAAGGATGTGCTCCAGTCACTTGTTCCATATGTACTTTCTCAGAGGCAGCTCTGAAGAAGTATTGCACTCAGTGTGTGCAATTCTACTCCTTCCAGTTTGCCCGCTAGCCACCCTGTGAAGCCAGCTGGGCAGCTTGAGTGGCTATGCAGTGAGCTGCACTGGTAGCTGGTCAGGCTAAAAAACCCTCTCCTTTTTTTCTTCTGTGTCATTTTTCAGTCCCCAGTGTAGTTCACCATACTGCCAGAGGAACAACTGCGGGGAAGAACTTAAGCCAAGTCAGGTTATACTGTTACTAACTGTTTAGGCTTAGGTGCTTTGAAACCCCCACCTGGCATCCATATTCAGGATAGAAGTCAATTTTTTTCCATGTTAAAGAGACAATAGGAAGAACCAAACTCAACAGCACAGCAATAAAGATGCATCCACCCAAGGGCCTTGAGCAGCAGTGGGGAAGCAGTCAAAAGGTTTGAATTCTGCAAGTAAATGCCCTGACCAGCAGCTGAATAAACATGGTGAAACAAGTTTCCTCTGCAAGATCTCTTGTACTACATGTGAATTGCTGAAGAATGACAGGAGCACCACAACTCAAGTGAGTGCTTTGACCACACAAATTAAGCATGGATCATCTCTGCTGCTTTTGATTACGAATTGTCTCCTGGCTCTGAGAAAACTAGAGACTTTCACAGCTTCAATAAATTACCATTTTCTGACACAAAACCCACTGCAATTAAATCCTACAGATATCAGGCCTTAAACACAGTCATTATCTCTAGAACCCAAAATCTTCTATACAGCAACAACCTACCAGTTTCCTTCTCTAGCATATCCAGGAGCTGCTTTCTCATCTCCATGTCCTTTCTCAGTGTGAAGACATAAGCCATCAAGGCCTTAACATAAAGGCTTGTCTTATCAAGTGTTACATTCTTGAGGCAATGTAAGGCATTATCCAGCATGGTGTCCTGAGAAAGGAATCCAAACCCAGTGAATTTCCTCTGAACACTTTTGTTGTGAAAATCTATCCCCAACCCTCAAGCATCCCAGCTACTGGGGATGTATTTCAGTGCTAGCCTCTCCCTCAGGGCTATGGAATGTCAAGTAGAGTGGACAAAGCATCACTCACTGTGCGTTGAAAACAAAGATGTGCCTGGACATATCACTGGGACAGGGGATTGTTAATACACTGGAGAATCCGGCTGTCAGAAGTGTCTAGTAACACGCTGGCTCAGAAGTGTCAGACCTGCATGCTGTGGGTCTCGGCTCCCAAGGGGGTATGACATTGTTTTCAGAACTGTACCAGTAAGGCTGGAATATCAGCCCATCATGGCTAGAACAGTCTACACTTGGCTTGAAGGTCACTGCTTTTATTTCAGGTCTGAAGGCGGGGGAGGGGGGGGGTGTTGCATACCTGAAAGGTGGTGGTTTTTTTCTCCTTTAGCTATATTGGTCAGTTTAATGAAAACTATTGCCTCTCCCTGCAAGCCCTAAGCCACTTTCAGAGACAATTGTTTCCCTTGAGATCAGCTGGGAATGGCAGATGCTCTGCTTTGCTGCAAATCAGGCCATTTATATTAAGAACTCCTTACCAAGTTAAAAATTTCCTGTTGAGCTTATTGTATACAAAGGTGGGAAGTGACAGAACTTTTCACCAGCTCAGACTGGGTACTCCCTGAAACCACAGACCTGGGGAGGAATGAAGGGTCTAGCATGTTCCCAAGCCCTGCGAGGAGTTCAGATGTGACTTACATTCTTCTCCAGATGGAGCTCCATGAGGGCAGCAGTGATATAAGCTGTTAATGAGATTGTATCGTCCACACCACCCTGCAAGTCACACAGCCAAACATCAGAAAGGGACAAAAACAACCATTGCTTGCCTGTCATTGTATAGCCACTGAAACTGCCTATGGATGGTGTATCCAAAAGAGTACAGTAGCGTGCCTCTGGGCATTCTTGGACATGTGAAGACTGAAGGAAAGCACTCCAGGCTCACTTATTGAATATCATGAAAGTTTGGTGCTGAGAGCAGTCTCAAAGCCATATTGTTCATACAGCCTAGGCGTGCCTTCTCATAGAAGGCATGAGGCAAACCATTAAGCTATTTATTTTATTAAATATGCTACAACTGGACACTTGAAAAAAGTTTTTATGATGCAGGATTTGCATACAAGAAGCAATGCAAGTTTACATACAATTCAGCTGACTGTGAGAAGCTACATGTTAATATGGGTAAACAGGCTCGCAGGAGCCTTTTCTCCCGTCAAAGAACATTGATTCTTGGGAAGTTCTGCTTGCATCCTCAGATATGAGACAAGACTACATCTAAAATGAGGGGGAGAATTTGGGCTGAGATGCTGAGTAACATCATTCACACTGAATAGCAGAAACTTTGAAGCGTAAGGGGGGCTGGGGAAAAATCTGTTCCAAAAAGTTCTGTTCAAATAGAAAACCTAAACTGAGAAATTAATGAAAGTCAGACAAGGATGAACAGTCTGCATATACACTCTAGTTTTATTTTGTACTGCATCCAAATTTTAAGAAAAAAAGTGTAACCCTTTGCTTTACTAAAATAGCAGACTGTTTTCTTTCATAAACTTACCTTGTATTTAATATGGGTGACTTTGTAATCTGACCAGTCTGGATTATTCCTACCTTTACCAAGACAATGAACCCAAGTATTGCCATACTGCATGCACACTGTTCGGTACCTGAACACTAGGGCATGTTCACCAAGAGTTCGGTGCATTTCCAGCTACACTGCAGGGATCATTTTGGGGATGCCAGGCTCCAGGAGAAGTCATACTTTTGGGGCGGAGAGACAACTGTGTCTTCAGATAATCCCATATTAGAGCACATAGTCAGGCCTATCTGGAGAGTATTGTGCATCACAGGGCATGAGAAGAGGGAGAATCCAGACAGGGTATTCTAGACAGACAAGCACTAAAATATAAAAATATTTCTCCCTGTGCCCTTGAAGTGCCTTGGCACAATTAGCCATGGTGCTTTTTGGCTAGAGTGAAAATGAAGAAAGCCCAGCTGACATTAAAACCTCACATAGAGTAGATGCCTGCTGTTTCAGGCCATGCTTTTTCATTCTGCTCTGGGAAGCTGCCTTGCTGTGCTGGGCCATGGGCACATTGCTTTGTGCTACTGTGCAGAGTGGAAGAGCCTGGGGAAGCAACCCTGTGCCCCACATTGTATGCCTCCCGCTCCCACTCCCATGTCTGGCAGCCATACCTTCAAGTCATTGTTGAAGAGCTTCCCCACACTCTGGAAGCAGCCGCCGGGCAGCTGGTGCTTCTGCAGCCAGAGCAGAGCGCTGTGCACGTGATCCTTATTGATGTAAATGTGAGAACTGGCTTGTCCAAAGGACCTGGCTACAAAAGCTGTCAGCCTGTGAGCAGAGCACAAAGGAATCCTGTGTCACAGCCAGGAGCTGAACCAGCAAGGACAATAGGTTTGGGATGACAGTACCAACTCTGGTCACTCACCATGTGTTGCCCTGGTTGTCAGCTTTCCCAAAGGCACTGTAGGAGCCATCATCATGTTTGTAGAGCAGTTGACGCTGGTAACCTATGAAGGCGGGTGCCAGGACATGACTCTCAGTGTGAGGGCCTGGAGCATCTCAAACTGTATCCCCGCTGTGGGAAGAAGTCTCCACAGCAAGAGACTTCACCACGTCCTACCATCAGAGATGCTGAGGCAAACCTACCACCCCACAATTCCCCATGCATCCCACACATCAGCATGACAAGAAGCAGTTGCACAGCATCACTGAAGTGCCCCATGCAGCTGCTCTACATTACTAGAGCTGTTATGTGCAAGCACCATGGATATCTATCTGCCCTGCTGGTTTGCAGAATGGTGACATGCTCAGCCACCTCATGTCTCCCCGTGCCCCAGGGAACCCTCATGGGCACGTTGCTGTGAATAAAAAGAGCTGTAGGACTGAGGAGGAAGGCTTTTCCTAGAGGGGACCAATATGAAACCCTGTTTGTTTGTCAGCACTGATGCTAGCCCTGTTGGGACTCAAGAAAGCACTTTTTGTGGGACGTACAGAAAGCAACAAGGCCATGCCTTTAAGTTCTGAGGGCAGAACACCATCCGTATCCGTTTGCTCTTCCTCCACCCTTCACACAGCCCCACTGTTTACCTTCCACCTTGCCTCTCTGCTGCTGCCATTCTCCTGGGTAGGCCCCCCTCTCCCAGATAGCTGTCCCAACTCACAGTACAAGAGAGAAAGGGGGAAGGAAAGGGAGTAAAATCCTATCTGTTGTAGCAGGATAAGGAGACTGGCAGGTTGAAATGTGAGGCACATTGCAAAATGAGACACAGACACTGACGCCGTATTAAATTCAGATTATACTGGACAGAGCTGACATGCCCCTACCTTATGTGTCCTAAAACATGGGGAAACACTAAGCTACTAAACTCCTATCTATCCTCAAAAGCCACTCTTTATTCCAGTTAATAGTAGCTGATACCCTGTTTCCACAAGGGACTTCCATCTGCCTCGGACTTCCAAGGGAACAAACCACAGGCATCACATAGCAATAGAAATCATTAATTACCCACACCCTTCTCAAAAAAGCAGGCTTAGTACCTCAATAACTGGCAGAGGCAGAAGTCCTGCTTCTTCAGGAACATGCTTTTCCTTCCATGAGACATTTCCCTTATTCTCTGTGATACCTTCCTTTGTCACAGCTCTCGCAGTGCTCCCACTCCTGCCCTGCACCTGCCCACCAGACCAGCACCCCACGCTCTTCATTTATAGCACCTTTGGTTTGCAGCAGAAGGAAGAAGGACAACATTACCTGTTCTCAGGAATTTCAGTGCTTTATCTTCAATTTCTGGGTCCAGTTGTTTAGTCTTATTCAAGTACTGGAGTATGAAGATGTTTGGTGCAAACTGAACCATGTTCTGTTCACCGCAGCCAAAGGGCATCCCTAGCAGCTGGTCTAAATTTTGAAGTGCTGGGCCCATGATGTCCCCTTAAGTTTGAGGTGAAGGGGCAGGAGAAAGCAAAAGCACACACTTTTAGCAGTATGAAACAAAGGGACTGCTGACTTCTCTAAACTCTGCTGGGATCCTGGAAAAGAACCAGCCCCTCACTGAATGGAGATGATTAAGATTTCTCCCAGATTAGGCCAGCACAGAAAGGGAAGACATCATGGTTCTGGGAGGAGGGAAGGAATGCAAAGGTTGAGGGAGTCTGAAGAAAGGTGAAGAGAGCTGTCATTCCTGAGTGGGTATCAAGGAGGGAAAAGAATTACAGAGGCAAACTAGGTGGAAATCTGCAAGGATGGTTTTGGTTCACTTAGGTAGAGGTGGATGGCAGTGACAGACATCAAAGGAAATAACCCGTTTTGTGTCTTCTCCTACAGCCACTTGGGGATCACCCAGGATCATTCCTTATGAGAGGAATACATATCAAAAAAGATTACTTCATCCACATTCCTGAGGCCAACATCACACCCCCTACAGTTTATCTCAGGAGGAATTGGGTCAATGCATCATTAAGGCCAAAGCATTGTGCAAACTCTTCCCACTGGAGACCCAAGAGCGGGGAAAGCCTTTCTCACCAATCACAGAGAAAGTGGCTCGGCCAGATCCCTCCAGCACTTCTGCAGGCAGAGTTAGGGAGAACTCTTCAGAGACGGTGTTATCTGAGGAAGGCAGAACCCAGAAATTTATCCTGTGGAAGAAGTATTACATGCAAGTATAACATCCCAAGGAGACCCAGGTGAGCCTCAGTGTGACTGAGTCACAGCAGCTGAGACTTGCAAACAAATGCCTCAGTACAGGAAACTTTGCCAGGTAGAAGACAGACATAGACAAACTATAGTGCTTGTTCTCCCAGGCAGGGATGGTGCCACCAGCACTTGCTCTCTGACAAATTCCCCCCACCTCTGGGTATTTGCAGTAGCCCTGTCCCTTCCATCGTGCTCTCGTGATCAATAGCAGTCAGGGATTTTTGTCCCATACCTGCAGCACAGAGAAAGGCGTTTTGGGTCTTCTCTTGTAGGACACCTCCTGGCTGCAGATGGAGAATGAGTAGTTCAGATAGGGAAGGCAGGAAAGGAAGTCACCATGCCTCAGCAGGCCTGTCTGCTTCCAAGAAGAAGGGGCTAAACTTCCTCTTAGCATCTTGCTAACTGCCTCAGGGGATGATCCACTGTCCCCAGGTGTTCTCCACCCTGAGGTGTGACTAACCTTCACAAGCAGAGGTTTTATCACTGTGTCTCTCTCTCCTTGCAAAGGTGTCACAGCGATCCTATTATCACACAGATCGTGTGAATCTTCTGCCACGCTGCTCACAGTGACATTCACTCTGCCTGCAGGGAGCACAGGGGCACATTGCTGAGCACTTGCAGCAGACAGCTGTATACACCAGCATGGCATCGGGACCAGACATGCAGACACAGGCAAATTCCACCCCTCTTCCCGCTAGCTGCCACACATCCCTCTGCTTAACCTCACCCAGCCTGGTGGCTGTCACGTTCCACACGAAGGTTTTTGCTTCGTTGGCGCAGAGGCAGCTGGTGAACTGACAGCCTGGACAGGCGTCCACCTTTAGTTCTGGAGTCTCTGTGAGGGTGGTGCGCACCTGAGTGTGGTGGGGTGTACAAGCACACATTGGCGTAGTGTTAGGAACAGGCAGTGCACAAAGGAGCAAATACCATGGGTCATGAAGTGTGAGGCTGTGCTTTGTGGCTCAGATGCCAGTATCTAGGGCTCCTGAGAAGATCATAGCTTGCCTTTGGGCTCAAGTTTTTGCTCTGACAGAGGCCATGTAATTGGGGGAATACTCACCTGGATACAGTCCTTGAGGTAGTTAAAGACAGTGGCTTTTAGGCTGAAAGTCTCTCCTTGGATCACAGAGTATGGCAGTGACAGATCCACAAAGAAAGGCTGGAAGACCCTAAGAGTAGTCAGAGGTGAGAACCCAAAGCCAATATCAGCAACACAGAAGGCGTTGGCATTCCATTCTGTGATGGTGTCAGGTACAGCAACTTGGAGAGACACTTGACCGTTGTCCCTATAGCAGGAAGAGAAAGAGGAGAACTTGCTCAGAAGTAGTCAGAAGTCTCCAGGGGTGTGTCTGGGGAGGGCAGGTAGAGGCTGTTAGCAACCCAACAGAGACCAAATCCCAAATCCAGGTCTCTGGGAAAAGTGTCCGTGGTTTTGGCGTCTTCTTGTCATCAGAGCGAGGTGCAGAATCACTGTGGCCAACCTGATTGTCTGCTGGAAAGCAAACAATACCTCAGAAAACAGCAGATGTAGCTACAGGTGAAATTAGTTCTTCATTCACATGCAATCTAACACAAATCGTAAATGGTTTGTGACACAGAACAAGGGTGGACAGGGTTAGTGTTTTAGTGAGAATCTGACACAGTGTGTGTATCTTTGGGGAACACAGCTTTAGGGAGATAGAGTCGGATGAGTTTAGCCTGAGGCTTAGTCTGACAGATCCAGCAAGTTTGGTCTGGATCCAGGGGCAGACAGCAGGCTCAAATGGAGTCACACTCTTTTACATAATCTGTGAAAGTGCTGGTGGAGAGCTTGCATTTTCTGTGAAAAGTGCAGAACACAGGGACAGCCAATAAAGCACAGAGATTTGAGCTTTTATCTGTGATTTGTAAATCAGGTTCATTGAACTGGACACAAGCTTTGTTCCTCTCATACACAAACAAGAAACACAGCAGGATGGAAGTCAGGCATCTGCACTAGAACTGGGAGGGAGGAGCCCCTTCAACCAAGAAGATGGACATGTCTGTTCCTTACCAACAACATTGTCTTTTCCAGAATACATCTTTTTCTCAAAGCCTGGTATCATACAGGAAACTGGTTTCTTGATTCTAGTATTGGTTAATATTTTCATGTGCAATTTCTGGGAAAAGAGTGAAGAGAGTAAATCAATGATAAATAAAAGGGAACAAGGAATGTTGAAAGTATCTCCTGATAGCAGGTATCGTAAGGGGGCTGGTGGTAGCTGAAACACTTTAAAATGCTGCTTGTTTGTACACATATGCATAAACTTACAGGCTTAAACTCTGGGCAGTGCATGAGGCATGGAAACTAGCTTCTGAGCAATACTGGGGCCAATTATTACTTCTCATAAAAGTAAATTTCAGCTAGATCTGTCCTTCATATGCCTGACCCTAACAATAAGCCAGAGTCAAACACCATATATCCCATGAAAAAACTTAAGAGAAAAAAATTCTAAGCTTTTAATCTCTGCACAATTTTAGAATGGAAAGATCTGACTGGCTGTTCACAGACAACTGTTCTCACACAAGTTAGTGCCAGTCCTGGCTTAGAAAACTGATGGGGAACTTGGTCACAACTTACTATGGATTCTGCTTTTGTCTGAATGACTCAGACTCTCAAGACACACAAGACTTGTGTGCTTCACAAGGTGACAATATTGGACAGAATACATGCTCATGTGCATGGACTGAGAAGAAGACATCATCACACCAGAAGAACTCATTTGATCCTGTGAGCAATCCTTGCTTTCATTTAATGGTCTGCAAGTCACTGAGAGCTCCTCTACTTTCCTGAAGTGCCAAAACCCTTCATGGACATTATGGGCCCTCACCCTTTCTGCAGAGGCTGTACATGCCTGCGGACTTAGTCATATGTTACAGGACAGTCATCTGTTACAGGAGCACTAATAACTGAGGTACGGTGGGATCTCCTTTAACTATCATCCAACATAGTCTAGGAGTAAGCACCTAGAAGACAGCACAGTACCATGCCTTTGTGGGGAATCAAGGTCTGCATTTGTAAGGCAGAATTCTGTCAGTCTGAGAAGCCTAAGCAACTCAGACTCCATTTCGGGTTGTTTGCAGTGTGTTGTTACCATCTTCTCCTATTCTGAGGTCTTTTTACTTGCATATATTTCTTTAAACAGCATTCTGTCAGAAGGAGCGTTCTTGAGTTTCAGTTAGCAAACATCTTTTTCGGGCTATTGTGCCTGTTAGTAGACTAGCTTATTTTGCCATTTGCCTTAATAGTTAGCTATAAAGCCAACTTGTGAAGGCCTTCTTTTTATTAAAACTGCTTTGAGAAGAAGTAAGAAGAGACTCAATGAAACACAGAGTAAAGAAGTTTGTAAATAAAATAAGAGGCAACTAGTGATTGGTCAAAATATGGTGAGGTGCTCAGGTCTTATTGGCATATTCTTGCCACTCCCCCTTTGTAGGTATGGTAGCCTAAACTAAGTTTGTTAATTTTGACACTGTCTTGCTCTAATCAGATGGTTTGCACTATGCTTACTTATAAGTTTCACCTTTCCCCATAGTCCCCAAATGAGTGTGGCTACACTGAAGAACAAGGCACAGATTACTTGTAGCTATGAAAGTCAGGGCAGCCGAAGTTTGCTAAGAGTAAATTCTTGTAGGCATTCAGGATGGCATACTGGCAACCACTGGCTCAGGAAAAGTTTAGTGGAAGTGTAGACACTCACCTTAAACAGAATAAAGACATCAGCATCATTTTGGTACCATGGTGCTCCCATCCAAGTCTTTTTGCTGAGACTGGGCTGCTGGGGCAGACAAGGGTACGCCTCAAAGTCTTCCAAGTGATAAGGGTACCCTCGTTGTCCAGTTGTAAAGCTGTCATCAAAGACATTCTCATACAGCTGCAATGGAAAAACAGAGGCCTTCATAAGGAACTGACCAACAAGCATGTGTGTGGGTCAAATATTTGGACCGTAGCCCTCTATTATACTTTGTAAAGCTTTACAGTTGAGGAAGTTGGCTTTGGCCCAGCTTATACTAAAGGACATGAAGCCCAAGGACTGCATGTAGGCAAGTAGCTTTTAGTCTGCAGACTTTCACCTCTGACAGTTCAAGCCTTTTAACTCTAGGGTGCAAGGTTAGGATAAAAATGCATGATTCAGTTTGAGCACAAGGCATTGGCACATCTGACTTCCGTATTTAATGTTACTACTTTATATACCTGTTAGTAGATGATGCAAGTGCTCTGCACTAGAACAGCATTCCTATAAAATGGAACACCAGATCACACTGTGGATCCCATCTACAGGTACAGCAAGTCCTCCTGGATTTGGTGAGGCTTCTTTGTAACAGTCTGACCTGCTATAACTTAATTTACAACTTTGCATGAGGCATATACATGTGTACATTGGTGTACATTGTGGAATTATGTTAGGATTTTCAATTCTTGCAGTGTTTTTGTTCTAAGTCTTAAATTCATTCTTCTGAAACACACAGCTGCTTTGAGGTGAGTTTCTTCAACCCTTCTAGATTCCCAGAATGTACCTGGGTGCTGACAAAATCCTGACCGCTTTTCACCAGCCACTGGGTGTGCTGGGTGCTGTCCCCTAGCTACTGTTCTCTAAAGAACTGCTCAGGTGCTCAGCCTGATCTGTCATATGGTTGTAATTCAGCAACGTTTGGGGCAGAGGGGCAGGAGGACTCTACTGGGGCAAAATTCCATTTCAGATGTTTAGCCTCACTGCCTGGTGGAAGATGGAAGAGCAGAGAGACAGGTGGATGTGAGGAAAGCTGCTAAGCACTTGCCCTCCAAGCAGAAAGCACCAGCATCTCTTTGAAGCTGCTCTCCCCGCCTACCCCTCCGGTGCCGTGCAGCATCCACCACTCTTCAGGTAGAGGTCCACAGTGCAGGGCTGGTGCACAAGGAACGTGACTGCCACATTACTGCTCAGAAGAGGCCGAGGAGGGGGAACGGCAGGGCAGCCACCTAACACTGCAGCCATGTCCTGGGACGGACTATGGGCTTCCTCCTGCCAGTGCATGGAGACAGAAGGCAGGCAGATAGCAGGGGGTTGGTCACGGCAGGCTGCACTCACTGTGTCTGCTGTTAGGGTGTTGTTCTCCTTCAGAAGGACACTCTTGTCAACAGCTTGGATAGAGCACAAGGACCCCGGAGCAGCCTTGAGGTCCAGACTGACTTTTGAATCTGGGACTTCCTCCTTGGGTGAGAAGTCCAGTGCCACCTGCAAAACAAGACAGGGTCAGGGGGCTTAGCGTTGGAGAGTGGGACCCTGTGACTCTTAGACGTCTGGGCAGCAAATGGAAAGTCGGACAATAAGGTGGGGAAGGGGGCTGAGATGCTGAGACACTGAGACAGGCCCTCCTGGAAACCCATTGGGAAGGTTACAGGGGCTGCAGCGCATACAGCCCAGCCAGAATTCCCCTACCACCACACAGCCACCACCCGCTGATCCAGAGCTACCACAGGGAGCTAAACAGGCAGGCGTCTCTTCTGTGTTAGGGAGAACATGGGGACAGTGTGTTCCCAAGCAAGGGGAATGGGGAGAGAAAATAGAGTTCAAGAGGGCCTGGTTTACTCCTTGGGAAAGGCTTGCCAGTCAGTGTTGGGGAGGGCAGGACTAGGAATTCAGGGAAGAAGGAGGTTACCTCTTTTGTTTCCCAGCCAAAAATGCTGGGCATCTGGTTTGGCATATATCCAGCTTATACCACTGGCCCTGAGGACCAAGAATCACAGCAGGCCAGAGCACATCAATGATGCTTTCGCACTCCTTGTGTTTCTACTCACCTTGTGCCTAAAGCACTTTTCTACTTGAAAGTCTTCCACGTCAGCCACCACCTCTCCATCCAAGAAGACTGCATACAGTAGAAGCTTGATGTCAGGCAGGAAGTCATTGCCAATAGTCAGCGTCAATGAGAAGGAGCCCTGCAGATCTGCACAAGATAGCAGCAAGGAAGAGAGGGAAAGCATTCATTTGAATCAGCTCATTGGGGTAGGACACACAATAAGAATCAAAAGAGGGAATTTAATAATTTCTACCTGCAGATAAGAACATCCCACACAGACACTGTCACAGATTAACAATAAACCTAGGATACTGGCCACCTCTTTGGCTCAAGTTTGGCAAAAATATTCCTCTTCCCTACTGCACCTTAGATAAACAGGCAAGCTACTCAAATTTTGTATCTTCTCCAATGGTACAAGCTAGTAGCGAAGTCATAATGTTGGGTATTAGATCAATCAGACAAGGCAGGAGAAGGACAGTCACCTAGAAGGACACTGAACTGATATGAGATTGTGTTGGTCTAATGAGGTGGACCACCACTAAGAACTCAGTTCAATGGCTCCCACCTGTGAATAAGAACACTTGCAGAGATTGTCACAGGAGAGTGGTCACAGTTTTCTGGGGTGTGTTATGAGGCACTGAACTTCATGCATTTCTACTCACTCTCATGCTGGATAATTGGCACCTGCTTCTCTCCACTGAAAAGGATCTTGCCTTTTGCTATCACCTGAAGAGCAAAGAGAAGAGCCATTCAAGGGCCTGAATTCTGACAGCATGAGGAGAGTGGGAAAAGAGCAAGAGAAGAGAGAAGGACGTCTGACAGATGTTGTCACAGAAGCTCCTCTGGCAGAACATGACCTAAAGAGTTCTGCAGCAGAGATGGCAATAGCATGGCTGGGAAGGGACTCGGATGCTGTTGGTTAGGCAATGAGAAGACATGGCCGCTTGCAAAGCCAGATATACATCTGCAGCTAAGAGCAGCTGCTCTTAAGCCCCAGTGAACTCTGATCTTCACATTACTAGGATACCTTACTTTTTGACCATACAAACGAGCCCAGTGCAGTAACCAAGATACCCATAACCTCTCAGCTAGGCTGTAGTCACATTCTTGCTTTGGACTCACTTTCTTGAAAGTGGACTTCATCAAAAAATTATTACATACTTCTGGAATACATCAAGGCCCTGTGCAATCTGAAGCTTTTTCCTCTAAATATACAGGCCCGGGGATGTCAGCTGCCCCAGAGATTGCCTCTTAGTTCACAGACAGATTGCCCCAGACACAGATGGAAGTCTGGGGCATACTTGCTGGGCAGAAACCAGGCTAGCCCTCCATTACCACCCATGTGAACATAATAAAAAGTAGGGTGAATGGCAGGCATCTATCACCCAAGCTTAGGTCCAGGCACTCTGAACAAAGCAAAGCAGCTGGGGGCTAGGAGCAGGTCCAGGAACTGGAAAACAGGAGGAGGTTTGGGCAGAACAGAACTTACAAACTGACTAATACTGGCCTGGGAGTAGCTTACACTTTCCTGTGAGTATCTATGTGCTGTGTGAAAAGGGTAGAATGCCAGGAAGCATAATCTTGCCCTGAGACTCAGCTGTCTGCTGCGCTTACCAAGTAGTAGAAATCAATGTGATCTGCTTCAGAGCTGAGTTTATTCCGGTCAAGGATATAATCCACTTGTACTTCCTGCTGTTGATCACAGGGCATCTCATCATCCCTGGCCTTGATCTCAAGGAAGCTGTTGCTCTCAGAGTAGAAAGGTTTCAGCCAGTGGAAGCTATCCTCAACTTTTGTGTAACTTTCTGAAGAATCTTGCTCATCGTCATTTCCAAGGTTGTAGGTACCCTTCAGAGCACAAAAACATGAGTTGGTAATCAGTATCAAGTGATACAAGGGAGCTTGTATACCTGCTGAAAACACTAAGTTATTACCTGAGCACACATCTGTATGCTTAAAATACTCTTTTGTTTAAATGTCATTTTAAAGTTTCTTATGAGACTTTCTCTTATGAAGTTTTAGCAAAAATCTAAGTCTAGGAGATTTGCCCACAATCTCATTTTTCCTCCTTTATCTTTCCATGGGGACACACCCCACACCAGACTTTAGCCCCAGCACAGCACTGCTGTTTTCATTTTATGTTTCTGGTCAGATGCCCTGAAGCACAACAGGCACCAAAACAGCTTTTGTACAGTGAAGCTCTACTTCTCTGCAGATAATTTAGGGCTCTGTGGACAATAGCTGTGGGCCTAGGAACAAGGACCCTGTCCCCCAGCTCCCTGAGGACAGAAACCTACCTCCTAGATTTCAGAACCTCTGATCACCAAATCCTGCCCAACAAAATTAGGGAACCTCACCCTAGATAGACTGGGATCTCGGGGAAAAACATCTGGAACAACAGTTCCAGTCTCTGAGAAATGGATGGCAATAGGAGATTTTACTGCTTGGGCATGAATCCCACATCGGCTGCAGGAATGCAGGGAATGGGAAGATGGGTGTACTGCCAGGCTGGTAACAATGAGCTCCAGGTGTAGGATAAGAAGTTGTGAGGGGAAGAAACCAAGTACTTCAAGGTCTGGTGTTGAAAGGGAGGTCAAGAGCATCTACCTGCCCAGCTGAGCCTGGACAAGCTATAGGGCCAGAGCAGCCACAAGAAGTGGAGTTCAACAGAGACGGGTGTCAACTGCCAGTTCTGCTGAGCCACCTCCAACATGTCCCAGTGTGGAGAAAGGGGAGATTTCCTCCGAGGAAGTATTCAGATTAACAGATGTTTTCAGTGGAGTCAAAGGAAGATGAGGGGGATATAAAAGATTAGGATCGTGCTCCAGCTCAGGACAGCAGAGCACCTTTGGTGACCATTTGGCTGAACTGTTGCAGCACAGCCTCCGGCTTCCCTGAGGAGATGGCACTGGAGAGAAATTAAAGATGCTTCTACAGATATAGTCAAATGAGATCAGGAACCAGAGGGCTGTGCTCCAAAACCTCAAATTTCTTCCACTTTCTAGCCCTTTCCTCAGCCTACCTTCCTCTTTATCCTCCTTTTTCTGTGGCTGATGCTCACCTTCAGAGAAACCAGTGTGCTGTTCCAGCTGGTGGTATCCAGTGAGAAGTGAGCTTCCCCGTTCTCATCTGTGAGGAACGATAGATGTGTCTCCTCATCATTGATGTCAACTCTTAGGTAGACCGTTTCATTTCTGAGGGGAGAATTGTCACTGTGGCAGAACATCTGCAGAGAAGGGGAGGAAGATAAAACCCCATAGTGTCACACTCCAAGGCATGGCCAGTGGTTAATATTGTTTCTATCACTGGGCTTCCTCAGCCCTTCCAGCTTTTAGACAGTTGGAAGGATCCAAATAAAAGTGCAATAAATACACAAAACCAACAATGTCTAGCTTTGAGGATTAGAAATAAACGGTAGTGCAGCCAAATGAGACCCCTGTTTGGGGGGAAAAAAGGTAGTTTCCTCAGATCCTGGGCTTTTTCTTGGACAATGCTGCAGGATCTTTGATGATCAGAAACTGTCTTGTTTCCGGCAACTTAACTTTTGCTGTTCTTTGCCTTCCTTCACGCTGGGGTTAGTACTGGCCCGGGTGAAAGTGTTTCTAGCCCCAATGGGAGAGCAGTCCTAGCATCACCCAGGGGACTTGAGTTAGAAATGACTGCCAGTGAACTGATATGCAAGGCTTTAGTGATTTCTGCCAAGTTACCATGAGCATTTGTCCGAAAGGAATGTTATTTCCCTGCCAATGCCACCCCCATCCCATATGCCTTTTATTGCACAGACCAGTTTCAGGAGCTACTCCTGGTGAAGCCTCCAGAGACTGCAGCTGGCCCCAGAATTCCTGTCCAGGGAATATACTAGGTTAGGATGGGGAGAAGAAATTGCTTCTACAGGAGGTTTTGCTCATAGTTGCTGGGTACCAGCACTTAGTTTCCTGGAGATTGTTACTTTCTACCAACAGAAGATTAGATCTATGATGTATTCTCAGCAGAGAAGGGATCTCTGGGTGTTACCTTTCCTGTGTATGGTAGTCCACGTTTGTAGAATGAATGGAGGTTGATAAATTCTATAGACTTCATTCTTGTTGCAATAGGAAGTTTAACTATTTCTATAGTCTTTGCTCCTGTGTGGAGAGATGAGAAATCTATTAAACCCTAGCAGTGCTCTTAGGGAAGCAGAAGACAAGAAGATGCTTCAACACTACCTACAACATCTATAACCTCTAAATTTAGGAGACAAAATACATTCTTCCAGGATATGATTCTGTCAACCTTTCTGGGCCCTCTGCTTCATGACATGATGCATTGTACCCTATAAGTACTTTTTTTCTCTTTATTGAAGATAAGGAGAAAGTAGAGGACTGTTTAGTTATAGACAGCTACACTGCAGATACCTAAAAGTGGCCTGAAGGACCCCACCCACAGTGTGACAGTTCAAACAACGGACACTTGCAGTTGCCAGAGCTAGGTGCACATTAACACTGATACTGAAAACCTACCTCCTTATAGTCAATAATGTGTCAGGCTAAAAGGGAGCAGAATGGCATTCCTCACAACAGGAGTGTGCATAAGCAGCCTTGCCTCAGGCTTAGGAAAAGAGAGGACAAGAGACTGTGGGTAGGGGCTACCTGTCAGGATGGCGCACTACAATTAGCAAGGACTGCAAGGACTTATTGCAGACTTTTCCATGGCTAGCCAGAGCTTTGCATCTGGCTGAGGAACACCTTGGTGTCCAGGCAATCACTAAAATGTTATATACATGCTAGTGGAGATGAGGGTTGGAGAAGATTAGGAAATCTGGTAATGATAGATGGAAGAGGTACTAGAATAGAGACTATCATCATGCCAGAGGACTTGGGAACCCACAAGTTACTTTTTCAAAAGGAATTCAACTGTCACAGAAAGGCCAAAACCAAAGGAGTTGCCTGCAAGGAAAAGAACGCTTCACATATTTTCCAGTACCTGTTCCATCTTCCACCATTTCTCCTACCACAATTATGCAGCTGTCAGTTTTCTTTAATTCCAGAGTCTCTGTCTTCACTGTAAAAGTAGTGCAGCCATTCTTGTTTGCCTGCAGAAAGAGAGATATGAACAGAGAGGAAGAGCATGGAGGAAGATGAACTGTTACATAGATGCTGGGCAATCCTAAAGAAGTATTTCCAAATACTTGTGGAACAGATGGAAGCTCAAAAACCTATAACTGCCAAAACCCATCAGGGATACCATAGCCAGAGAAGAAAATCAACATGCTTGGATTAAATAGTCACCAAAAAAGTGGCAGAAAAAAGTGCTTCAGGCAAATCACACAAGGGTCAATTATGTCACAAACTCAGGAGGCTGGATTAAGCCAAGATCCTGCAGCTGAAAGAGAATGAGTGTCTTTACCTGAGCTAAAGGTAACCTCCTCCCTGAAACTGTATGGCCCTGATGAATAAATCCTGACAGTGTGGCTTTCCAGTCATGACCATCTCTGTGACGTGGCCGTGTTAAACAAGGGCATCCAGCCAGTCCCAGATTGCAAGAGCTTTGCCAAGCATTAAGGCAGAGACTGGGTACAACCAGTCTGCCAGAGAGGGGAGGGGGACAAAGTGTTTCTAGTCATGCCTGTTAAGTTCTCCACAGAACCTTGCAGGGCCTCTTACATGCCATCTGAGAGGGAGCTGGCATTCAGTTGGTGTTTTGCACAGCTAAGGCTGTACAGCATTCCAGCTGGAGATATTTTGCTACTGGGTGCATTTTAAAAGATGCAGAGATCCAGCTGGATTTTTATATTTTGGCTTGTTGCTGGCTGGTCTGACATTTAGAAATATTTTCTTGTGATTTTCAGGCTGAAAGAGCTGCCTCTGAAAGCCATGGGAAAAACCAAGTGTGGAGCTTAACCACAAATGTATAATGAACACAAATGTGCAGAAAGTGTAACTAGCACTGGACTTAATCTCAGACAGGACACTAGCAAGCTAAAGATGATCCATTAAGTGCACGGATACAGCAAGAAACAGGGTATTAAGCCACAGACCATCTGGTGTTCTGATAGCCTGTTTATCGGTGGGAGCTGTCACAGGACTGAATAGACCAGTGATCTGATTGCATACAATATGATACAGACCCTTGGGAAAGGCCCCAGGCATCATTACTTACACAGAGCTTACACCTTCTCCTGAAACACTGAGTCAGATATGGGCAGCTAGAGCAGTAATTCAAGCGACAGGGTCACAGGAAGAGGAATCAATGGTCTGATCGGGTCTAGCAATTGGGAAGACACCAGACTAAACATGTTGGTGCACATCAGAGGTGCACTGAGGCAGGTTAAGGGGACAGACATACATTTCCAGCAGGTTATATGTTCCACTCTCCTATTTGTTCACCTACCCAGCTGTTTTGCTTCTTCATCCCAGTAGAATTTGAGAAATTGTCTTCCAAGAACTGGGATAATGTGATAAAAGTAATACCTATTTTCCCTTGAACGGGCTTCCCATAGGTATACCTGTGTCAAAGGAGAGAAACATTCACCTGAAGACTGGCCGCTTCAGCAGAAATTCTGATCCAGGCCACCCCCCACCCTCACTGGGGGGAAGTGGAGCCTGGGAGAGCTTTGTACCTTGTTTGATCAGGAACTTCAACTCGTCCCTTAAGATCAGTTTACATCCCTCTCCACCCAGTATACCCAGCATCCTTAGTGTCCTTCAGCCTCACAGTAAATGACCAGGTGCAAGAAGGAGCCCGTTCCATAGAGTGATCTGGCTCCCGCAACCACAGGGTAATGCAAGAACATCATACTGGCAGGCCATTTCTTGGCTATGGGCAATCTGGAGGTGATTGTGGAGTCAAAGGCCAGAGATCACAACGGTATCATGTACTCACTTGCCACAGACCTTCAGCTGAAATTCCTCATCTGCTGTAGCAATAAATGGAGGGTGCTCAATCTCTATTTCAAATTTTTTCAGTACTGCATAGAAGAGAGGAAGATAAGGGTGGAGGAAGAAAAGCAATACTGAGTATGGACACGGACTGTAAGTTCTCTAATAGCTGCAGTCTAGATGGGGGGAAAGACAGTAATGTCCCCAGTCATTCATCACCATGCTGCAACAGGGGTTACTCCCTTCAGCCACATCACCCTCTATTTGCTGCTACAATTGCACATGGGACTGCTTTCTACTCCAGCTCCGTCAAGCATAAACATTTTAAATGGCACAGGGTTTTGTCCTTACCTACATCACTGTAACTGAATGGGACTAAGACATGATGTGGCTTCCTATTATAGCAGCTGACTGGAGTGGATAGTAAGCCTAGCTTAGAAAAGGGTGACAATGAGCAGCAGAAAGCGCTCATCACAGGGTCCAGCCACAGCTAGAACAAGATGTCAGACCACAGCCTCTCCTTTGTACCCTGCGCAGCTGCAGAACCTCCAGCCCAGCATGAGATGTGTGCACAGACCCATCTGTCCCTGTCCCCAGTCTGCTGTTCTCCCACAGCAAAAGGTCTAACAAACATGGCTGCATCGCCCTGCTTTCTTCTCCAGCTACCCACACTGCTTTTCCCTCACATCTCTTGTCCAAGTCTCACCAAATTTATCAACACTGAAGGTTTTTTGAGCCATGTCTTGTTGCACTGAGATGGTATACTTCCCAAGGGGTGCTTCAGAGGCCAGGGGGAAAGATAGATCCACAATGCCATGTCTTGACTTTACATTCAACCACTCAGCAATATGGTTATATTCAGGATCCTATTTGGGAAAGGACGTGCAGAGGCACCAAGTCACACTGGGAGCATGGATACCTGGCAGGTCCAGCCATACTCGGGTACAAGAAAGCACTGCGAGGGCTTACCCTTGCCCCAGTAGAGAGGATGCCAGATCACCAGGTGAGATTCCTTCTCATCCCTCCAGTATCCTTTTACTGAACTTTTGAATTGCAAAGGCTCTCAAGAACAGTAAAGCTACTGGGAAGTGGTAACACCATAACACTGTGCGAAGGAGAAGCAGCTGTGCTGCATCTAGTGAGTGCTTAGCCTTGTGCTTTGTGCTCTGTGCAGACAAGGTGTTGGGCAAAGGTTCGTTACTGCGCTGCCTCTAGTTCAGCTATGTGCATCACAGAGGTGCTGGTTTGAATGAAGAACCCAGGCTGACTAGGTAGAAAAGACTTGAGCTGAACCTGAACCATAACCATAACCTTATGATGTTATGTTTGTGGAACAACTCTGTCCAGGAGTGAAAGGACACAGTAGAAGAGACACCCTTTGGTCAGTTCTTTGTCACTTACCTGCAGCCATATCTGGGAATACTGTAAAAACAAGAGAAACACAAGCTCAGTTTTGTACAGAGCAAAACAGCATCCATGTGAACCAGTACTAATAACACTGCCTGATGTGGGCCCCTGACCAGAAAGTTCTACCCCATCCAGACTCCACACTAGGTCTCCTCTTCCCTCTGTGCTAGCTTACACTGCAGTCTTTCTCCAAGGGACCAGTGGATGAGTGGTTTCCCTTCAAAGATCATTTGTTCTTATGGTTTAACAGGCATGAAGGGAGATGTCTTTTTCATGAGCCTCTCAATGTGTCTTATGCTGAGGCTCCTACTTCTAGAAAAGCACAAGGTGACACTCACCTCATTTTTAATGACCTTAAGGTCCTCATCGAGATTCACAATTCGAAATTTCACTGGGGATAGAAAGAAAAGGATAGTAAAGCATTCTGACTGCAACATGTCCTTGCACAAATCTGCTTCTCCTTTTCTGTGCTCCAGTATTCATGTCTCTCTGTTTACCTCAGGGGTATTCAGGTCTTTCCCCAAACAGCCCTCCCCAGCACCTCCCACCCCAGAGGACTTTGTCTGGGAGGTTGATATGCAGCTGCAGGCTGTGGAAACTCACTGCCTTTACATGGGAAGATTACAGTGATGTGTTAAACAGTGGGGTTGGTCTGTCTGCAGTCCGTTCATATTGTAAAGACTGTGGAATAACTCTCTGTTTCTACAGCTCGGAACTGTCACTCTAGGCTTTACTGAAATATTAAGAACAGTCTTCAAAAAGCCAAGAGATTTTTCAGTGTCCTGAAGAGTCCTGGCGTTCCTTTTAGGTCTCACTAGAGATACTTCACCAAAACAACACCCAGAAGCAGCAGGCTGGGCATTTAGTGCAGCACAGCTCGGAGGGGAACACCCTGACTCATGCTGTTCCTGGAAACATCTGATAATAGAAGTCTGCTATCTTCCACCCCCAACAAGCGTAGCTTGCTGCACTTGGTGAAATCTTCCCCCTGGATGTGGCTGCTACCTTGACCCTTCCCTCCCCATTTCCATATGCCACCTTCTTGCCTTACCTGTTTCGCCAGGTTTGTATAAGCCCTTGTCTGTCTCTACCAGTATTACATTCTTCTGGGGCTTCACCAGAACCTTCTTGCGACCCTCAAAGAGCACATTGTCCCCACTGTGGATCAGGACATGCAGAAAAACCACCACCTCTGGCTGTCAGGTTAAAAAAAACCAAACTGCCTGAGACTACAAGTAGCTTGAGTCAACTGTCGTACCAAAATCTCCAACTTCCCTCTCCTCCCTTCCCCTCCTTTGATTTATCTCTCTCCTTGCCCTAGTCATAGTCTTCTCTGTGCTCCCCAGCTTCCTCATTCTCTTTTCTCTGCCTTTCTCCTTGTCATGTTTGCCTCTTTCCACTTTTCTTTCTCCCCTTTACTATCTTTCCCACCCTGCATCTCCAACATTAACATGGGTCAGACACAGGAGAGGCTGAAGCCCTCTAGTTTGTAAGAGGAGAGGCAGCCAAGAGAGGTGTCTTACGTGTGACGTGGAATCATCTCTTTTTCTGGGAATGAACTCTGGCACCTAGGTTGATTGATAGAAGGAAATGGAAAACAAATTTGTCAGAGACTTTGCATCTTATCCTAGATGTAATACATCATTTTACTGTTAAAAAATCCCCAAACTTCAGAGTCCAAATTCCACTGTATGACTCTGTCTCTAACCTGCTTGTCATTATAGGGGGAAGAAGCAGTCACTGCCTGTCTTTTTTTCATGAACCTAAGAGTGAACCAACCAACATGTTATTCTCCCTCTTCACATAAATGTGATTTTTATGAAACCAAGAAAAACTATAGGGAAGTCAGATCTGGAGCTGACCAAGACACTAATGGGAGACGAGATACTGATCAGGCAAAACCAGGACATCTCAGTATCAGAAGGACTCAGCTCACCAGGAGAAAGGTTCTTCTTGCTAACAGCAGACTTCCTTGGTTTTCCAAAGCCAGGACTTGCTCTCTCCTGAGGGCTGGCACCAAACACTTAGTTAATCATTGTCTTGTTGATGCAAGAACCAGAAGTGACTACAGCCCTTCCTTGAGTTCTGCTGAATCTGCAGGACGATCAGGGCATAGGCACAGCGACTTTGCACGGTGCTGAGGAAGACAGGGGCAGTTTGTAGAGCCTCAGCACCAGACACATCTCCACGGCTCTCCAGAAAAGCAACTGAAGGTCCTGTACTCATGCCCCAGCCTCAGTGTGTCTAGTTAAGCTAAGTAGAGCAGCAAAGTTGCAATGACAGGAACTTAAGCCACCCAAGAAATATGCAGACTGCCTAAGTGAAATTCAGTTCATTGTGGGTTCAGCGCCATCACCACCCACCACAGGTAAATTAAAGCAAGCTCAATGTCCATGCAAGCTGCAACTACACCTTGCAATATAGATGCAGCTTTAGAGCAGGATGGTCCTCTTGGAGCTGGAGGGGCAGGCTTCTGAGGAAGCGAGGATGAAAAGAATGTATTCCCAATGCATTGACTTGCACTATGATATAGAAGCATTTTTAGGGACTAAACACTGAGTAAACTGAAAGTCAGTGTTTTCCAACAGGCTTTAAGTAGGATGAAATGGACTGATACAGGTCAAAAGAACAGGGTTTTATCTACACAAGAAAGATTCCCTACTTTGCTAGGCTCCAGGACACTGCTGTATTTTGCCTGGCACTGGTAGGGAAATACACTTGACCTGCTTGCAACCCATGGCAAGGCAAAGGACAGTGTACGCAGAGAAGTGCTGGGCTCCTGTCTGAAGTGAAGGTGAGAGCATCCACTGCCAAATCAGCAGCCACAGCTACACTCACCTGGAAGGTGATGCACTGAAAAGTGCCTGGCTTCTCCACATCTTGTTCCACCAGTGTGTGATTCTGGGTTGCCTGCAAGGTGACGGCCAGGTGGACGGCCTCAGTCAGGGAGCTGAGGTGAATGTAGAGCTTCTCCTCTTGGGAATGGTGAATGACAGCAGGGAACACCACCATATAGTGACTAGAAGAGAGCAGGAGATGTTCAAAAACAATTCAGAGGCTGAGGTGGACAAGCCAGAATCCATCTCTGCTGCTTTCATGAAGAGGTAGACCAGGGGTCAGAAATGTCTAGAGGCCTGCAGTGAAGGAGCTATGGCGCAGCTCCCTTTCCATACCAGAAAGAAACAACATGCCCAGTTTGGAACTAGAGACCTCCTGATATCTGTCTGTCACCACCTTGTCACCAGCCAGGACACAGCTGCCCAGTGTACAATACTCCAATTGCAAGTACACAGAGCAAGGCTGTGTCAGGAATGAAGCTGAAGACTCAGTGACTGAGGCACCACCATTCAGCTCTGTGATGCTAAACACTGCAGCACCTCAGTACCACCCTTCAATGACAGTCCCTTCCACCAAGCCCCCCCGAAATCAAAAGGAGATAATCTCACGGTTCCAGGCTTGCTGCAGCTGCAACTGGGAATAGGGTCAGGGCTAAAAGGAGCACTGGTGCTCCCATTGCTTGGGCTGGGACAGACAGCTGACAAGATCCACACAGGAGGAGAGAACTGCCTCTACTGATGGGCTGGAGCAATCCTAAATACCCACCTCAGATGCTCCTAAGTCCAAAGAGTGGGGGAGTTGGTATATGGAGATAGTACCTCTTCCAGGCTAATGACGTTAGCTAATATTTACTTGCTTCCACCAACACCAGATTAAAGGCTGCACAGCACAGTTCTCCACCCATGTCTACATTCAGATGGTATTCCAGGCCATTGGGTGCCAAAGCACTGTGGGGAGATGTGGGGTGGGTGACCTCTAACCTAGGCTGAAGGGGACTTAGGAGAAAAACCTCATCTCAGCTGTGGCTGGTCTGCATCCTGGCTGTAGCACCCGATGAGAGCCAAAGCTGCACGTCAGCTACTGTCCTCAGCTTGTAAAAAGCATCCTCAGTACTCTCTCTGTGCATTATTAGTGATCTTCCCCTCATCCAGTATTTAATCAGAGCTTGGAGTAAAAACCTTTCAATTCACCTCCATTCCCTGCATCACTACCTCTGTCCACCCATCCATCCCAGCCTTGTCTGATCCTCCTGGGTACAGACCTTTTCCAGAGCTGCTCCTGCCACCCACTGCCAGCTCCTCTTGTAGCTCCATTGTAAGGCTTTTCCAAATAAAGCAAGATGCTTTAAATCCCCACATATTTTAGCAGATCTCTACTTTACGTGCCACACCCCACACCCCACACCCCCCCCCGCCAGATGTCTGGTCTTCTGCCACCTTCTTCCAGCCATAAGGTAGTTCTACACTGCCACCACCATCCATCTCCTCCTGACTCTTCTCGGGCACTGCAACTTTGTATTTCCTTTTCCTGGGTGGCAGCAGTAAAGTGAACAGGACTTGGATGTATTTGCCCTCTAGTTACAACCTCATTGGAAGGTGGATGTCCTCATCCTGCCCTGGCCCCAGCTGTGTTTTTGCAGAGCATAACCAAAGGTACACAATACAGAGTGAATTTGCCATCCACCCACTCTTTGCTCCTAGCTGAAGCAATCCCCTGGATTTACTTTGGCACAGTCCCCATATGTGTGCTTAGCATCCACTCTCTTAGTGCACCGTCCAATGTAACAGCAACACACTAGCCTTTAACCTAGCACTGACATTGCAGATTATCTGCAGGTTTAAAGCACTGTATGTCACTGATCTGGGAGCATATTTGATTCTCTGAAATCAACAGGGTTTTGAGTTCAAGCCTAAGCTAGTGGGACAAAAAACGATCTGAGTTCTGCCTGATTTTCAGAAACACTCCCCATGGCTTTGCATCTCTGAATGGTCATCAGGTTGGCTGCCTCTGAAGTTAAATCGGAACAGTCAGACAACAAAAAGATAATAACATGCTAAAGTTCTTCCCTTCTTCCAGGGAGGAATGGGGGCACTGGCAGAGCTATGTGTGAAACCCTGGGCTGGGCTGGCTGGAGGCTGCAGGGCAGGAGTGAAATTTCAATAAGAAGTAAATAATACATAAAAAAAAGGTTCTACGGAAGAAGAACAATCCTGAAGAAAAATCCACTGGCATCACAAAGAATGAATTTGTCCCAGGATGTTTCCGATGAAATCCCAGTAAAGACACCTTTCTAAAAATTGGGCCCCCGTACCAAATATAGTAACTGAGCACTCCTCCTGCCATCAGCTGTGGTGCATAAGGCAGAGCAAGTCATCTCCCAAAGAAATATCAACAAGCCTTACAAAGCCTCGAGGCAAGTGCCTTTGGTGTGTAGGCAATAAACCTTGTCTCCACCCCTTCCACCCGCCCACATCCCAGCCCCAGCCATGCGCAGCATGATTTCCACCTTCTTGGTTTCGAAGCCAAGAGAGACGGGCACCCTGTCAGGGCAGGAGCTGCAAAGTCCTTCAGCTCTGGATGAGGGGGAGAGGGAAGAAGGAAGACAGCAGAAGCAGGGGCGAGGTGGGGACAGAGGAGAGGCTAAGCTTTCTGTGGAGGGATTTGACCTGCAATCAGCTATGTGGAGCATCGCTTTCCTGTGTGGCAGCATCCTTCTCCTGCCTAGCACAGCTGGAACGCCTGCAACACTGTAAGAACCTCAGCTGCTTCGCATACACACTCTGGTCTGTGGGGAATCCTGAGGGGGTGGTGGTGGGACAGAAACAGGACAGAAGTCCTAAGACCAGGAGTGCTTTTCCGGAGAGGCGTAATTTCTCGTATTCCCAAGGTTTCACTTGGTTCTCATGCGCGCTCCCCCCACACTTCCCCTACTACTTGGCTCTCCCTTTAGTGCTTTTCATGTAGACTGTATATTTCTGCAAGGACTCAGGCAGAGCAACTCTCCCAGCTTTCTGCATATGTTTAATTCTGACCTGCCAACATCTCACATCTCCTGCTGTGCTCCAGAATGTATTTCCTTTGGGGCTATGCTTTTCTCCCCAGAGTCATAGGTCACCATTTAAATCTTTAGTGGACAAAGCTGGGTGCCTTTATGAGCCGGGCAAACATGAGCCCAAGGTATCTAATAGGGATGCTCTTTGTAAAGCAGTGTGTTTGTTCTGGCTTGACTGGCCGTCTGCTCCCTCCATGCCTTTTCTCAGACCTCTGTCAAGGACAATTCCCAGCACTGCTTTTCTTCATACACTTTATCAGGAATGCAAGTCCTGTTCCAGCAGGCACTGCTGTGATATACTGGCTTGTGAACTTGGTCTTGCTTTTTGAAGGCCTTTGCTTTTGCAGCCATAGCATAAGTGCAAACAGAAACATGGCTGTGCTCGAACAGTAGATGTTACAGTGAGAAATATGTCGCTGGGTTCCCTCCTGCCACATGTGGTGTGGCATGCACAAGTCTAGTTTTAAAAATCTTTGCCAGTGGGAGTACAGCCTCTTCCTCTAGGATGTGTTCCATAGGCTCACACAGCTCCCTTTCAAATGGTGCTTGACTGTTACCTGTTTCCCACTGTTACCTTCAGCATGAAGCTTTGCTTTATGGAAATACTGCTTGCTTCAGTAGGCTCTCTGCTGTCCCACCTGTACACCAATATTTTTTGTAGATTCATGAGAAAGTAATCCAGCCTGGCTCTTGGGATCCTTGAATGACAGCCTCAGAGATGCTGCCTCGTATTTTTATAGCTCAGAAGGCAAGGGAAAGGGATGAATTATCAAAAGGGTATAAAAAAATGTTCCAGAGTAAAGGGCCACTGGGAGCAAGGGTGGTATGGGAGGTTCAAGCAGTGAGTCTTTAGTGCTCATCCCATCTTTTGGCCCAGTGGCAGGGCAGAGGTGCCATGAGTCAGTTTAAGTAGGAAAATCAAAATGTCATTGGCATCTGTTATCCGATCCCCTCATATCAGCAGCAGACAAGCTGCTCAAGGCAGCTTGGCAGCGCTCAAGTGTGAAAGCACTCAAGGCTCCTGGCCAGTGGGACTTTGACTCCCTCTTGCCAGGGTGCTGAGCTCCAGCTAAGAACTGGCAGCAGGTCACATTCCTGCCTCCTGCTGTTCTGATCTTTCCAGTCCCTGCTCTCCCCCTGCCGCAAAACATGCCGCTGGCTGAACATGTCCAGAGGCAGTAAGCAGGAGGAGTCAGTGATAAGGGTTTTCAGACCTGCTTGAATGTTGGCTTTTCTTTGGTCCTAGCTGCTGCAGGGCAGTATAAGATGAAAAAACCCCCGCCAATATGAGCAGCTTTTGATGTTATCCACGGGCGCAGCTGTGAGAGTAGCCACGGAGGTGTGAGATCTGACATAAGAGAGCAAGGAGGACAGGAGTGTCAGGAGCTGAGAGACACTCTGTGTCTGGGACACGAAGCTGGGACACTGGGTCCCGTGAGCATGGCACTGGTTCTGAGCCCAAGACTAGCTGATAGGACAGAAAGCAGATAACCAACCAAGCACACTGGTGGTGATATGTAGTGTGGTTCCGTGAAAAGGCTGAAGTCTCAGGAAACCTCCAATGTAGCCAAGCTCTGCTGCTGATCCCTTGGGTGATGTGGGGAGGGCTCTTCACCTGATTTTGACTTTCAGTTTTGGAAGCAGTGACTTTATCTTTTTACATGTGCGTGCAGCATGTAGTGCAGACTCAGTGTTAATGGCTGCAGTACCTATAGATGAGAAGAGCGGCGTGATCTTGTCCCACTGGCATTGTGACAGTGGAATGAAGAGACCAGAAGTCTTATTAGGAGGTACCCAAATCATATGGTCAAAACCTGTCCTCTTAGAATATCAGTTTCAGCTGACTTTTTTTTAAATTTTCTTTTTTTAATAGAAATTATGCTGTGGCAATACCATCTCAGCTGTACTACCCCTTCTCAGAGACAGTGTGCCTCCAGCTCAGCAGAAAGCAAGCAGTCCCAATTGATGTGACAGTAACCTTGCAAAGCAGAGCTGGGAATGAGACTCTGATCACTCAGTCCATCTCTCAGCTCACCTTCTTTCATTGCACAAGCTTCCAGGTGAGGAAGATATTTTCAAGGGTTGTCAATAGGGTGGGTAGAGCATGAGTTCTGCTCTTGCTGGGCAGGAAGGCAAAGAATTGTGTCTTCCCATGGGGACATCTTAATCGAGCACTAAATCTTCTGCTTCAGCCTGTATAGGTCTGCCAGTGTCCTTCCTGCTGTGTAGCCCCACTGATATTTTACTCTTCTAGAAAACATTCTGGAAAGTACGGTGAGGTCTTTCAGGGCAAGAAGAACTGGAGCAATATAAAAGCAGTATCATAATCGTTATTCCAAAAGCCTGGGTATCCACCCTGAATCATGGTTACAACTATGCCTGCAGGTCCCTCATCCTGTTGGAAACCCTGATGAAGTGGCTTTTATCGTTATCACGGTCCTGGAGGCCGACTCAGAGTTTCAGAAGAAACAGAAAGTCCTAATCACGCACGCAGACAAGAAGACTTTTATCCAGACAGACAAACCTGTGTACAAACCCGGACAGACTGGTATGGACAGAATGCCGAGTCTTGTGAGAGAAAGAGCGGTCCTCAGGCCACGAAATATGGAGTAGCCTCTAGCGCTTGGAGCGGGACCTGCTCTGCAAGGGAGATGGGTCACAGGCTTCATCGCCCTTCTAGGCTTTGGGGGATCTGGGGGTACCTCTCTCCTGCCTCAGCATGGCGCATGCTTTCTCCAGCACTACCCATACTCAGACAGCGTGCCGGTGGGAACAGGGCTTGTGTGTTTTGGCTGAAGTGTGAGAAAAGGTTCAGATGCCACTGTGTCATATTCATGATTGCTCCAGTCAAAGCCATGACAGTCTGTCAGTGCCCCAAATCCCTCTCTCTCCCTCAGACTTCCTCAGAGGAGGATCACGGCCCTGCAGGCCCCATCGTTGGCCTAGCACAGCTCAGACCACCACAGGGTACAGCTGTTTGCCCCATGCCTCTCCTCGTTTTCCACTGGCATGACCTTCACTGCAGGCAAGGCCGAGTGCCCCACCGCAGCTCCAATGTCCAGAAAAATGCTATTTCGCACCAGCACAGCCAGCCTTCCCAGAAACCCCACACTGCCTCTTTTAACCACTTTTTTTCTAGCAGGCTGCCAGCTCGTAGCAGGGCTTTGAGCACAGGCCCAGGAGTGGATGGCTCTAGCTGCCGCCCACACCTTCTCAGGGAAGCATATGGGCACATCTTTCTCAGCCATCCGTTATTATTATTATTAACAGACTTGATTGCTTTTCAGCCAGTCCTGTTTTTCTTTTGCTCTATAGTCATGTTGCGAATTGTAACCTTGGATCAGAACTTTATCGCCAGCAATGAAACGGTAAGTCAAGAGGGGAGAAACCTTCATAAGTCTGAAAACGCTGTGGGCTGCCTCCATGACTTCTGGATCAGTGCTTGGCCCAGCTAGGTGGTCCATCTGTGGAGGGCTAGTCTCAGTGTCGCTTTTGGTGCTTACAAACAGCGCTGCGCACCGCCTGCAACGCAGGAGCTGCTCATGACGTTGGGTGACGGGCAGTCCCTGGGAATTGCTTAGGGAATACTGACTCATGGGTGGTTGGGGGATTAAAAAAATGCCAGGGAGGTGGATGGTAATTTACGTGAAAGCATCCTGCCAGTAACTGTTATTTCCTCCCCACAGCACCGCCTGGTGGAATTGAAGGTAAGGCACCTCCTTTACTGGAAGTGGTGATCTCTTCTCACCGTGGGGAAGTCAAAGGTTTGGAGATGACAGTGGGAAAATATGGGTGCAGAAAGCCAGTTACCTCAGAATGAATGGGAACAGTCCTCGACTTCTTGCCCGTCCTTCCTTTAGTATCCACACAAGTTTGGCAGCGCAGTGTCATGATACCGATCACACAGGGGTACCTGCAGTAAGGGATGGGTGCCACTGAAAACCAGTCCAGCAAACTTTTCTGGAGTGGTCATAGGACTTTTAGTCCCTTTAGCCTGTGAATTGGAAATTTGTAAAAATCCTGAAGTTTCTTTAAGGAGACTTTTACATTTAACATACAGAAAATAAAAGTTTGACCTGTTAGTGTTGTGGCTACACAGCTAGAGAAACTTCCTAAAGCAGCTTTCAGGTTATTGTTCTTAAAATCTGTTAATTTAGTTTCAATATTACAGGTAAAATATGGACCTGAGCTGAGGAAAGATACCTGAAAGCGGTGGGGAGTTTGTAATAACCCATGCAGAGAGGTCACAGCTCCAACTAGCAATTGGCAGTAGCTAATGCACATTTGCATGCCATACCCACCAAGCAATCAATACATAAACACATGGTTTCTGAGACACCTGTGCAATGCTTTATGCCAGTTTATACAAATGTACTCTGATCCAGCTTCACCCTTTCAAACAACAGTTCCTACTTGTTCCATATGTTTATAAAGCACCCATCAACTCATTGCTAAGTCCTTCCTGGCTGGGCAGTGTGACCATAGCCAGAGTTCTGCATCTTGCGCTCCCAAGAACCAACAGTGGGAGAACACTGTTTGGCATGGACTGACCATGACAGTCAACAAAGCCTCCAAATACCCTTGCATCCCAGGTCTTTATATCCTCCTTTCTATACTGGGCGTCATGGTCCCCTGCATGAAGTCCTGGACTCATTTCCCCAGACTTTCCTGGGGATTCAAGACATCAGACTCCCCAGTAATCATTCCCAAGTAGCTCATGCCTTAGGCAGCATGTGCTGTCAGGATTGACCTTCTCCACAGTGGCCTGGGGGCTATGCCAGCTCAGATCACCACAGGGGTCTCTAAGAGGGACCACCTCTCTCTCTTAGTGAGACAGGCAGGCAGTAAACCACAGTTTTGCAGCAGCCAGTGAGATGGCAGTGCCACCAGAGAGCAATAATATGATAGATTGACTTTGTCAATGAGACAGGAAGAAAAGCCTTATCTTCTTCGAGCTTGGACTTACCTGAGCACTGTAGCTGTGTCATAGACTGGGCGTCTCAGGACAAGAGGATATGTGCTCAGACCATGCTGTGGTAGCTTGGACATCCTGCAAAAGAGTCTCTTTTTGCACTGGGAAATAACTACTCTCTACTACTACCTATGCAGGACCCCAAAGGGAACCGAATTGCACAGTGGCTGAACGTTACACCTGTGGGAGGCATTGTGGATCTGTCCTTCCCTCTGGCTGCAGAAGCACCGGTTGGAGAGTACACCATCAAAATGCCTGACCGCGCACATTCCTTCAGGGTAGAGGAGTATGGTAAGAGTCTCAGGGAGCTGACAGCAGCAGAGAAAGATGTATTGCCTCCAGCACTCCTCTCCCACACAGAGCTGAATTGGCCATGCAGCTGTGAACAGCTGTGCTGGTTGTGCTAGCACCTGAGTTGTCCAACTGCCTGCCAGTAGGTATAATCACTGGCTTTCACTCAGGCCCCCCTGGCTTTCTCCTCCCCCGTGTCCTGAGGATGGACTGAGACACTGTCCTACAGCTGTACTCTGGAGACAGAGCTGTCTGCTCCCACCACGCTCTCCTGGCTGGGCTGCTGGTACATTGCTCCTAGGCCCTGTGCTGATAGTCAGGGAATGAAAGCAGATCTTTCTTTTCTGTGAACAACTGTTTAGGGAGGATTGGAACAAATGAGCTCTCTCTATTCTCACTGAATTATATTTCTCTTGCTTTCACACAGTGCTGCCCAAATTCAGTGTCTCCATCCAGATGCCTCAGGTGGTCACCATCCTGGAGGAGAACTTCCGTCTCCACGTCTGTGGCATGTGAGCTGACTTATCGTGGCAGAAGGTGCATTCTTACTGGTTTGGAAACTGCACAGCTATCAATAACTGAGCTCAAAATAGTCTCTGACAACCCTACCCCCCACCCCAAAAGTCTGGTAGCCTGGCATCCTTTGCTAAGGAATTCTCCTGGACTCTCACCTTTCTCTGTATTTTCTCTCCCCACTTCTTTCTCTGTGAGTTTGAAAGTGTAGCAGTGGATCCCCTCAGTGAGGCATGTGCCCTACAATACAGTACCTCTGCTGCATTGATTAATACCAGTGTGGAAGGAATAATGACTCAACTTGTAGCCAGCACAACGTCCCCTAGCACTGCCTGGTGGGACTAGCATTGACTTGGAGAGAACTCGCCCACCACTGCCTTCTGCCTCAATCTGATGCAGTCATTTTAACTTCTTGACCTCTGCTGAACTCACGAACCATGAAGATACTGCAGGCTGCTGGGTTGTATAGCTGCAAACCACAGGCTAAAACTGTTATTATTCACCCTTGAACCAGTTTCTGTATGTGAATGTAAGTCCTCTCTGCTATGTTTGCCAGGTACACGTATGGGAAACCAGTCCAAGGTACTGTGAAGGCTGTGGTGTGCCGTAAACATATCCGCTATAATTGGAAGTCTTCCAAAGCCAAGCGCAGTATTTGTAAGGATTACGCTGGCAAGGTGAGCACATGGGAAATCCATTCCTCTTGCAAAAGAGAGGAACGGGGCAAAGACAGGGAAGAATACTAAAGGAAGGAGTGGGACAGACGTTAGCTATTGAAGCAGCATGCTCTTTGCTCAGGGATGAATGACTGATACGTCCTTAACTCCCCAGTGTAGCACTCAGCCCCTCTCAGTGATTTCTCTGACTGCACTTAGATGCACTCAAAGGAAGAAGCATCTGTAGGCAAGCTAACTACTGCAGATTTGCCTACAAAACAGGTATTGCAACAGGACAACAAAAAATGCAAACACTATCCACATGATTCACTTCCACTGGATGCTTTTTAGTAACACCTTTTAATGTGGTGTAAACACTTATGTGCTCTTTCCTAGAAACAGGTGTTTTGGAGACACAGAAATTACCTCTTGCATCTAAGAAAGCAATTGCAGTTCAGCACAGACTTTACTCATTCATCTCTAGGCTTCAGTGAACATATCTATATTTGTTTACATATTTTTAAGTAACCCAGCACATATCTTAAAGATAAATCCTGCCCTAGCAGAAGAAATCATGTTGTCAGGGAGAAATGACAACTCATGTTTGCTACTGGCACATGAGTGAGTGTGTAAAGATGAGACACATGTGAAACAGCATCTCCTATTAGTGACTGCTCCACAGAAAAGAAGTGTTTCATGCCAGTGTAGGAGTTGCTCCTTTAACTCAAGTGTCTTAGTCATGCACTTTTAGACTTCTGGGCCTTGGGTTTGATCTGCACTGTAGAAGGGATTAACGCATTCATGATTGGTTAACAGATACAATTTCACATCCCCAGACAAACGAGGATGGCTGCTTTGCCACTGAGGTGGATATTAAGATCTACCACCAGAAGCGCGGTGACAATTATGATTTCAACCTGGAAGCTGTGGCTTTTCTGAAAGAAAGTGGAACAGGTAGCAAAAACTGATTCTACACTTCATGGAAGATCTTTTACTTTACACTCATACAACATGCTTGTCTTTGGGGTTTCATCTCTAAGACTCCTTATGGATCCTTGTGTCTTCCCATCAAACCACTGGAGCTTTCTGCACTGGCTCCCATGGGATCAAGTGTTCAGAGGGTTGTGTCTTCCCTGGGACCACCATAGCAGCATGGATGTTCTTGTATACCATACCACCCAGGTCTGACTCACATAGGACATGAGAGTTCTCCCAGTTGCAGGATGGGCTTTGCCAGCATGCTTGCTCCTCCACAAGCTGTTGTGGCCAGTCCACCTCTGACAGTCACCTTGGCTTGGCAGAGATGGGCAAGAGCTACTTTTTATCATGTTCTAGTCACAGTAGAAATGTGCACAGGGGTGGGCCAGGCCAGGTTCTTTTGTTCTTTAACCATACTTTAGGAAAGTCCACCGGAATGAGGAGATACTCAAAGCAACCAGTGATAACCAAGGCCCTGAGTGTGTGCTGTTAATAGCTCGTTGTCAGGTTTACCTCTATGTCCCAAACAGGGAGACGAGGCTACTTGTCCAGAGCTACTGTTAAATATCCCATCCTGTAAGGTTTCCTCTCCTACAAAATTTTACAAATCCTTCCTTACAAGAAAATGGTTTGCAGCCCCTTGCTGAAAGCAGTGACACACACATTCACTTAGCAAACAACTGCACTGCTTTCAGGTGGGCACCACATGACAAGACAGCAGACTGTAAACTAATAAGGTGAAGGCAAGGAAAAATGTTGCCTTCTAGTGACTCTGCTGTGAGAATGGGAGGAGAATGGAAGTGGACAATTAATTATGAGTAGGACCATCTTAAACAAAGTCAGAAAGAGCATTTGAGAACTGTCTGGCAGAGACCTCCTGGAAGACTGCTGTCATTCTAGCAGGTCAGAATGTAGGAGGCACTATTGCGAAGTGGGTGTGTTAAATGACTCCTGAAGTTACATGGAGAAACTACAATCCCCTATGAGTGACAGTCCACCCTTTACCTCAGTCCATCCAGTCTTGCTGCCTTTGCTCACACGCATGATATTGACCTGCGTGCACCTCCTGTCTTTCCTAGGCGTGGAGTTCAATACCACTGAAAACTGCAAGGTCACTTTTGATATCACAACTCTCCAATTCTGGGGAACAAGCTACTACTATCAGCAAGGAGCTCCCTACTATGGAAATGTAAGTGAACAGGGCAGAAACATGGAAAGCCCGTCAGCTGAGCCTAAGGAGATGGCAGGCACAGAAGTACTGAGGGGTCCCCTTGCTCTGAGCTGCCTAAAGCTGCTAACACAGTCCTCTGTCCCAGTCTCTCCTTTGACACCTCTACCAAGAGGTAATCCAAAGGTGTGACCACAGGATAGGCACATGGCTTTGCCAGATGAGATGGCTGCTGCAGAAATGGGGAGGGGTTGGAGGAGTTAGACTTCACACCGAGTCCCTTTGCAGAGAGGGGACCTGGGACTTCTAATGAGAGGTAGGTTTTTCAGTCCTGAGGCCTCCAGTTCTCTAACTGTTCTTTGCGTCGTTACAGCTGGAACTCAAAAGTACCAATGGGACACACCTGAAGAACAAGGAGGTGATTCTTACAGTGTCCCATGGTAGCAGGAAGCAGACCAAGACCTACTTTACGGATGATACTGGGATGGCCTCTTTCACCTTAGACACGTCAGCATGGGACAACAGCAGTAAAGTTCTGCTACAGGTTAAGCCCAATAATTACATTGGATTTGGCCAGCACTAAGCAATGCATCCCTCAGACCTATAGTCTATGTCATTGTCTTGGTATAGCCAGGGAGATGGAGGCACAGAGCAGTGAAGTGACAGATCTAGGGCAAGACGAATAGCCCATAGCAGAGCCAGTGTTCTGGCCCCTGGTGCCACACAGTCCCTTAGCAGTCAGTGATGAGAGATGGGGCAGCGGACAGAGGCCCCGTGAAGTTGTGACTGAGGTCTACCAACATAGCACCTCTGTCTGAGGTGAAAAGAGCTTTGTGGGACTGCGCAGGGACAAGAGAGCAAAGGAAGAACTCCCACATGGTATAGAAGAGGAAGACAGGAAAGGAGCTAAGGAAGAAGCATCTGAAAATACGTGTGGAGAAGAAAACATCAGTGACCAGTTTGCATTAGGTTTCCTCTTAGAATAAGAGTTAGGAGAAGCCTGGGATATAAGAGGCAGAAAACTTAGGAGAGAAAGAAGGAAGGCTAGTAAGGAATTAGTTGCTGCAAGCCAGTCTGGAGCAGAGCAGGTAACCAGGATGTAAGGAGCTAAATAGGGATGCCACTGACAGGGAATTGACAGAGAAAAGCTTTCATCTGCTTTCCCATTAACAAGGAAGGCTCTCTTGTCTGCTTGTAGGGGTAGATTTCTAATACCGGTCCTATCTAAACTTCAAGGTCAAGACACTTTGAGGCAAGCCCTGTCTCTTTATCAGAGTGCATACAGTATCTTAGATGATGGATCTTGGCCTTGCTGGAAGTCCACAAGATGTTAATATCATAGGTCAAAGATAAGCAAGGCTATTGATCTTCAGTTGTCCCCTGCCACCTCTACCCTATGGATCAGGGAAAGTGCTAAAAGAAATACAGCATGCGAGTGGCATAACACTGAACAGTGAAATACATTATCAGGGCAGATCCATGCTGATACTTTCCATACACATACCAGACAGAAGCAAAGGGTTCAGTGGTTTGATCCAGGGACTAATAAGCTACTCTACACAGTCTAACGACCTGGCTTGCTCCCGGGGTAGCAGCAGCATTGCAAAAGTTCAGGCTCTAGCCCAAGCCCTAGTAGTATACAGCTCCCTGCCTCCTGTTTGGGTGGTAGTTATCCCAGAGCACAGTGGGGTGGGCAATGCCAGGCTCCACAGAAAGGGGCTGACTGAGCTTGGCTTAGGTGGAAATAGACACCTTACCTTGCCCTGGGAGAGTTCAGAGCCCACTGTCCAGTCAGCCTTTTGGCATGGGGAGAGCTGTAAGAAATCTTCAGACACTGAGCCACTTTTTCTGTGCCACAGGCAAAGACCCAGCCGGAGGACTTAGGCGGTCAAAATGTGAGAGTGTCTTATGGCACTGCATCCCTCACACTGAGGGCCTTCTACTCATCCAGCCGCAGCTCTGTGAGGATCCAGCCAGTGCAGGCAATGCTGCCCTGCGGGGAAGTGCAGCAAGTCACCGTGCACTATCGCATCCTAGCCACGGAGCTGGGGGACGGCGCTGCCAGAGCAGACTTCTACCACCTGGTGAGTGCAGGGCAGCACCGGCAATGAGGTCAGCTTTGTGACAGGTCTGTGTGAGCACAGGGCTCTTTGCTGGCCCAGAGACGTGGAGTAAAGGCACTAGCAACCCTTTGTTCTCTTCATTACCCTTTAGGTTTTGGCCAGAGGATCCCTTGTGCATCACGGCCAAACAACAGTATTTCTTGCTCCGCCGTTAGGTAAGAGCATCTAAATACCAGAAACAGATTAAGGACCCAACAGGAAAGCCCTTCCAGCCTAAATGGGGAAGGAGAGACAGGAGATCTGAGACCAACAGGAAACAACAGATCTGGCACAAAAAGTAAAGAGGAAATGGCAAATATGCTATCTTTCTTCAGTCTTTTAATTTCCCTTTTTTTTTTTTTCCTGATCAAATGATGAAATTGTCAGAGTTTATCTGCCAAGCAGGAATTATCAGAGACCTCCAAGAAAACTCACAGAATCTTTATGCTGGACTCAGGTGCAAAGTGCACACTGTTGCCAAGATCCCTCACGATATAAGGTCACTGCTACAAAATGGCACTAACCTACATCCTGGTCTAGCTGTGGCCTCCCCAGAAGGAAGGCAGAACAGTTTTTATCCAAGTAACTGTACAGAAGTATTATAGAGGATGAGCATGTTGCTGCTGTAATCCTTGGAGACAGACTTCCTTGCCTCTTCCTATACTTTTTCTATTTCTCCTTCCTCCTTCAGGTCAGTATAGTGGGGCTTTCAATGTCACTCTGCCCATTGACCTCATTTCACCCATGGCTACCCTCTTTGTTTACACTGCTTTCCCTGAGGGACAAGTGGCAGCTGACACCTTCAGTCTGAAAGTCTCCAAGTGCTTCAGGAACCATGTAAGTAGTGCATAAAACATAAGGGGGCAGGTAGGCTGGAGGGTAGCTAATTAACTGCAAATTGTCAATAGATGTCCAGCAGAATCCAGTAGCTACAGTCTCCCCTTCCCTTCCTCTGTCAATGTCTTCCATTCTTTTTTCTTCTGCTGTTTCAGGTGAAGCTTGGCTTCTCAGACACAGTGGCCCTCCCAGGATCGGCTGTCCATCTCCATTTGCAGGCTGCACCAGGCTCCTTATGTAGCATCCGTGCTGTAGACCAGAGCGTCCTTCTCCTGAGGCCAGAGGCTGAGCTATCCAAGGATAGTGTGAGTGACTTTAGTGCTGAGCCTTGCTAGTATTGGAGAGATGCCTTGTGAGTATCTGATTGCATGCACTGGTTAATAAGGCACAGTGGCTATACCAACAAGTACTTGAATGGGGACAGGACATGGTTTAATGAGAAAAAAATGAAGGCCAACATCAAACACCAGTCAAAATTTCCAGTCTCTATGGAGGGATGTAATAGAATGACCCACTGTCATCCCCAAGTGCAGCCCAAAGTCACATCCTTGTTAAACTTAGAGTGCTTTGCCACAGTGGCAGCCAGATGGCAAGAGACTTCCATCTCCCACACCAATTCATGGCAATGCTCTGAAAAAAACCAGTTATGTTAAAAAAAATGCCCAAGGTGTGATAGGCTCCATGTCTTTGTTCCAGCTCACATGAACCAGCCAGTCCTTCCATTCACAGACTGGGCTGTAAGTGGTGACTTGGCAGTGGAAGGGTCTCATTTCGCCTCTAGACCTGGGGTGCATTGGGTCTAAGGACCCTTGAATTGCCTCTTGACACTGTCTGGGTAGATCCAGGATGTGCCTTCAGTCAGACAAGAAGCTATCATCTAATGACTCTTACAGCAAAGGTGTCCTCGCTATATGCATTGAGTTCACAGGTACAATCTATGAGCTGGAAGTGGCCACAGCTATGCAGCCATACCCCAGAGGGGTTTGTGTTCATCTCTGGTGCTATGCATCTAAAACTTGTAGAAGCTCTCCATGAAGCTCAAAAAACCTTGGGGCTGGGCTTTCGTGGCAGGCAGGATCCAAGCTCTGCCTCTGCTGTCACAGAAAATCTCTGGATAGAAATGAAAAACTTCCCACCTCTCAGACTGACCTGTACTGTTTTCATTCTCTGTCTACAGGTGTACAATATGTTCAGTTATACTCAGGAGCACCCCAGGACCCTCACAGACTCTTACAGTGACTACTGTTCTATCCACAAGAGCCCAGAAATCATCAGTTCCCCTCAAACCACCCTTCCACCAGAAACAATGCCACCATTCATGTACGACAGATACACTTACGCGGTGTCCCAACCAGACGTTTATGAAGTGCTGAAGGTAAATCTAATTTCCAGAAAACCTGAAATATCAGAGCTGAGCCCCTTTGTATCCCAGGTCAGCACTGGGCAGCTTCACAGACTGTCTTTCCTGTAAATGCTGGCAAGTTTGGGTACTGAATTTGCCGAGCTTCTGAACTAAGAGATCTCTGACACTCCATGCTCCCAGCCTGATAAATTCCAATCGATCAGGCAGATCCCTAGAACCCAGCTCCCTATTTATCCCAAGCTCAAGACCCTCAGACTTTCTAGGGGTTGGAAGGAGAGGGGACTGTCAGCCTGAGTCAGGGAAAATTGGAGGTTGGAAAAGCAAAGCACCTAAGAGAAGGAGGAAAAGAATAGTAGAAAGGAATAGCAGGTGAAAGATGAGAACAAGTCTGTGTTAGGGTGGGCAGCAAACTGTGGTGCCAAAATAATGACTTTATGTGTGGGCACGCACATGCGAGCGGTCACCCCCACAATCCTGACTGGAGAGAGCCTCCTTTGGTGTGAGAGGCCAGGACCAGGCTTTGGGAGCAGGGTGGTTCTACATTCTCTCCCTGTACAAATTCGCAGGTCAGGCTGAGGTGCAGCAACACAGGTTGGCCGATATACTGGGAGGTGGGGGGCAGAGACAGACCCTCAGACACACCACCCCCTCCACTGAAATCTACCTTCTTTTTTTCCCCTTCTTTCCTCCAGAATTCAGGTCTAACATTTTTAACCAGCCTTAAAATCAAGTCTCCAATTGAGTGCCGCACTCAGACCGCTTACTACTACGACTACATGTGTACATCTCGATTTATCCTGTTTCTTTGGAAATCACGGGTAACATACAGGCTGCACAAGGGCAGCTGAACATGCAGTGTGCTGAGGAACTGGGGATGGCTTCCAGAGATGAGTGGGAGGTTGCACAGGAGATGTGCACCACAGGAAGAGGGGAAGGGTCCTGACATGTGTGTGTGTCCCCAGTGCACTGGAGGGGCAGAGGGGTGGCTGCATAGGAAGAACCTGCTTGGAAGCTTCTGCTGGCAGGCAGGAAGATAATATGGTCAAAGGGGGAAATGAGGCAGCTGTCTCAGGAAGGAACATCTGTAAGACTAAGAAAGGTCTTGCTGGAAACCAGAGAATGAGCCAAGATTGGCACTGTGCAGTATCTAGGCCTTTCTGCAGGGACTGAGAGCAAAAGTGTGAGCAGGTAGAGTTGCTCATGGGGGAGCACACACATACTGGAATTCACATGGTCTCCTGGGTTGTCTTGTGGAAGACAACAGTGAATGAGGTTGAGGACACCTTGGAGAGGACAAGGGGGATTGGAGTGGGAGTGGGAGGGATGGAGAGTTGAGCTTTTCTCAGCTGAACTCTATCCTGATTTCACTGTTGCTCTGCCTTTGAATGAATGCTTGTATTCCCAATAGCTTATGGCAAGCTGGCAGACTTGGACAACTCGGACCGAGAAACAGATGCTGCTGTTGAACGTGCTGAGTCAGAGCACATTGAGCTGGGTAGCGAGGCAGGGCCAGTACGTACCTGGTTTCCAGAGACATTCATCTGGACTCTGGTTCCCATCAAGTAAGTAATTATGGGCTGTGGCCCCCCATGGATCCAGACCTCCTATGAGGCATAATGGAGAGGGAATGGGCAGGAGCAGAGCCGGGGCATTATTTCCATCTGTGAAACAACAACAAAGAAAATGGAGGTGTGAAGAAGTGGATAAGGACAATGGAGGTTTGGTTCAGTTCCTGGCTCTGCTTGAGATTTTCCAAATGATCCTGGGGAACTTAAAATCACAGACTCCTACAGGATGGAAGAGGCCTCCAAAGGTCTGTAGCTCAACATCCTGCACAAGGCAGGTCCAGTTAGATCAGGTTGTAGTCAAGTTCTCTGGATCTCCAAGGATGGAGATTCCACAGACTATCTGGGCACCTGTTCCAGTGTTTGACCACCCTCATGTTATTTTTTTTTCTTATCACAAGTCAGAATTTACCATGTTCCAACTTGTGTCTGTTACCTTTCATCCTATCAATACGCACCTCAGAAGAGACTGGCTCCAATGTGTCTACACCTTCTCAATAGGTAGCTTTAGAAAGCTAAAAGGTCTCCCCCTAGCCTTTCCCTCTGAAGTTTGAAAACCCCAGTTCTTTCAGCCATTCCTTGTATATCAAATGTCCCAGCCCTCTGACCATCTTGGTAGTCCTCCACTGGATGCATTCAAATATATCAGTATCTTCCTTATACTGGAAGGCAAAAATGGGACACAGTACTCCAGATGTGGTCCCACAATGGAGGAATACAGGGGAAAAATAACTTTTCTCAACCCAGTGGCTGCAGTCATCTTAATATAGTCCAGAAGTAGATGGCCTTCATTGCTGTAAGGGCACATGAGATGTCTCATGCTCAGCTTGTTATCCACCAGGACCCCCACCTCTTTTTCTGCAATATTGCTTACTAGCTGCCTGTACTGTTGCATGGTATAATTCCATCCCAGATACAGAATCTAGTCATTTTCAAGCCCATTTTTCCAGCTTGTCAAGGTTCCTCTTAATAGCAGCCTTTCCCTCCAGCGTATCAGGAACCCCTCCCCAACAAGGTAGTCTGCCAATACATAGCAAGATTACTCTGCTAATCTTGCTGAGGACGTCCTCTCTCCTATTATCCAGGTCATTAGTAAAGCCATTAAGCAGTATTGGCCCAAGTATCAGTCCATGAGGCATGCCACGGGTAAACAGCCACCAGTTGGACTTTGTGTCACCAATAACCATCCTTTTTCCCCAGTGGTCTAGCGAATGTTCTGCTCAATTTACCATCCACTTGTCCAGTCCACACTCATGTGGCTACAAGGATACTGTGGGAGACTGTGTCAAAGGCTTTGCTAAAGTCAAGTTATGCAGCATCCATTGGTCTCCCCTTATTCATACATCTCAGCTTTCTTAATTCTCCCACATGCCAATGTTCTCCACCTGTAAAATAGGATTTCTGCCTCTCCATCTCATTTGGCTGGATTATGCCTATTTTGAGGCAAGGACCATCTTCTGGTTTGTGTATGCAGATCTGTAAGTGACCCTTATAATGATGACCGCTAGGCTGTGGCTGGGAGTTTGAGTGGGAGTGTGGTGGGAGTGTCACACAGTACTCCCTGGCACAGCTGGGTGTATAACATGGATCCCTGGGAGCCCTGTGTGCCCACACGAAACAAGAATTTGAGGTGCAACACTATCCAGAAGCAAATTCTGTTTTGCGTTTGCCTCTCAGTCCTTCCTTGCCCACCTATTTGCTATCCTTCCCATACCTCTGTCCTACTTCATAGGAATCTCCACACCTTCACACACACTTCCAGTTCATAGTCCTTCTGCATTTGTCTTCCCAAGAGAAATCTTTACAGGGATGGGGACAACCCCTTCCACTCTGTTTTCTCCTCAGTGATTCAGGGGTTGCTGAGCTAGCTGTCACAGTACCTGACAGTATCACAGACTGGAGAGCCATGACCTTCTGCACCTCAGTGAGCCATGGGTTGGGAATCTCAGAGACCACCAACCTGCGGAGCTTCAAGCCCTTCTTCGTGGAACCCACCTTGCCCTACTCTGTTTTCCGGGGAGAGTCATTTCCCCTGAAAGTCAAAGTCTTCAGCTACCTGAAGCAGTGCATGGTGGTGAGTGGCTCCCTCCAGAATGGTTTTTGGGCAAGGGGATGTGTGGTAACGGTCCTTCACTGATAGAGACCCAGACAAGGGGCTGCCTCCTCAGGCACTGGGCAAAAAACACCAAGGAAGCTCTTCACAAAGCCCCATGCAGAGCCATCTCTGTCAATCCCTCCCCATAAGCTCAACCGTACAGGACTGCGATGTCCGTGGGCTGTTGGTGTCCCACAGATATTGCAACAGGGCCATCATCATACTCACCCTGGGCTTCTGGGCTTGACTGACATTTGGATCTGAAAGGAAAGGAGCTGAAAGGAAAAATACAGCAGCAGCTCTGTAACCTACACTCACTTTTGTTTCACCTCTAGCTCCAGCTTAGCCTAATGGACTCCAGGGATTTTGAATTTGTGCATGCAAATGTCAGGTTCACTATTTGTCTGTGTCCTGATTCAGCAAAAACATTTTCCTGGGATTTGAAGGCTACAAAATTAGGTAAGGGGACAAGGGAGGGGCAGGAGTGGGAGGCACTGGCAGAGCTGCTTGAGGAAACCAGAGCTGGGTTGGAAGGGAGAGTAGGCTATTATGAAAAGCATGAGTGACCAGCCTTAGGCTGAGCAAACTACAACGTAGGCATGGATGTGCCAACCAGCCTCTTGATGTTTTGTTCTTTAGGGAAGGTGAATTTCACTGTCACTGCTGAGGTGATGGAGCAGGAAGATGTTTGCACTGAGAATACAGCTGTTGTGCCAGAGTCTGGAGGGAAGGACACAGTGGTTAAACACCTGCTGGTGAAGGTCAGAGAATGCTTCGGAGTCCTGGCGAGGTTGGAACTGGGTCAAGCTCAAAACGGCTGAGCGGGTGGCTCCGGGAAGGGAGAGTTGGCCGGGCAGGTAGGCACGTTTCTCAGGGAGGCTGATCAAGGAGTGATTCTAAGGGTAGGTTGTGTCGGGGCATGAGCTAAGCACCTCCACTTGATGGGACAGAGATGTCAGAACTGCTTGCTGGCAGGGCAGCGGGGGCAGAGGTCAGGTAGCAGCTTAGAAACCTGCCTTCCAGTGAAACTTCGCTGTCGGCACGTGTATTCCTACTGTCTGTGCAAGGTGCTTTGCATGGCCCATGAGGATGGAAAAGCTGCTTGCATGAAGGTGGGGTGCTGGGCAGCTGCTATCTCATTTTACTGCTCTCCCTTTGGAGCTGACCAGGCTTTTCCCACCAGGCAGAGGGGCTGCTGGAGGAAAAGACCTACACCTCACTCCTGTGCCCTAAAGGTAGGTGCAGGTACCCCAGAGACAGGGGCTGTATTACCACTGGGGCTGTACCTGCGCACAGAGCAAGGAGACCAAAAAAAGCAGTGTGGTATGTGAACAACTCTAGGACTATCTGGAGGTGCATGGGGAGGGGAAAGTCAGGGATTTTGGAGCTTTAATGGGGAGGCAAAGCCATTCAGCTCCACCCAGTACTGCCTAACCACATCACAGTCACTAATCAGTGGGTGGCCTGATCTCTGTGTCATCCTCTCTTTTAAATGCTGGTTTCACCAACCAATGAAGTGATCCCAGCCTTGTTTACACCATCTCCTGGGGAAGCCTGTGGGTCTGCCATCTCCCTTCTCCCCGTTGTTGCTCTGATGCTTTTTCCATTTGCAGGAACTTCAGCTTCAGAGACAATCACTTTCACTATGCCAGAGAACATGGTCCTTGGGTCGGAGAGAGCCCACATCTCCTTCTTAGGTGAGATTTAGGGGGGTCTTGGCAAGTAAGATTTTTCCCTGCAGGAGTCTTTTCTTCTGGTGCCGCCATGTCTGCTTTAGCAGAGTAACAAGAGGGAATGTGTACAGTGAGGTGTGATACTGGGCCCTTAAGTCCTCCAGAGAAGCATCCCATCTCTCTTATACAAGTGATACTGGGCCAGATGGACATTATCATTTCACCCAGCCAAGGGAAAGATAGACAAGTACCATATCACTATTCCTGCAGGACTCTATAGATATTAAAGTCACCCCAGTGTGAGCAGAGGTGAACTGAGACCAGTCTTAGCAGGTTATCTGGAGAATCGGTGAGATCAGAAATTTTTTACATGCAAGGATATGTAAAGCTCCCAAAGCTGTTGTTCTGTCCTACAGGTGACATTTTGGGGACAGCACTGGACAACATAGATGAGCTCCTCCAGATGTCCAGTGGCTGTGGTGAGCAGAACATGGTTCATTTTGCCCCCAATGTCTTTATCACACGATATCTTGAAGAAACAGGACAACTGACTCCAGAAATCAAACAGAAGGCAATTGGCTATTTGGAAAGTGGTGAGTGGATTTCTAGACATGTTATTAAGCTGGTAACGTCCACTACAGTAGGCTGTGCGGTGGGGATCTCAGCAGAGGCTAGGTGCTGAAGAGATTTGTGCAGCATCACTTGCCTGACACCGTGGGAATTACAGCAATGTAAATCAGGCTGCTGTGTCTCAGCTGAACAAGGGATACATGGCACCCCTCCGAAAGCCCTTTGCTGAATTCCTCGGAGACAACGTTCTCTATAACGATCAGCAGGATTGGCGGGGCAGGTTGTCACCTTGATAACACGATGGACACAGAGCATCCTCACTACCCCCAGCCTCTTCCCACAGGATATCAGCGGCAACTCCTGTACAAGCACGCAGATGGCTCATACAGTGCCTTTGGGGAAGGAAGTGAGCCAGGGAATACATGGTAAGCAGAGATAGCCAAACACAGCTGAGGAACAACAGCTTGACCTGGTCAGGCTCAAGCTGGCTTGGATTTTGGTCTGGAGAAACTGAGGGAGTCTGGAGGTGTGGAGTTTTGAATAGTAACTGCTCCTGAGAATTTTTGGAAGAGAACCGTGCCAATGAACTGACTTTAGGTACCCCTGTTTGATTGTTTGTGTTTGGGCACCCCAAGCGAGGCTGATTCTGAAAACCTGGCTGCAAAGACACCTTCTTTCCAGGTTTTCCAGAGTGCTTTGTGCCCAAACAGGATCAGGAAAGGGGCCTGAGTGAGCTCACTAAATATCAGCCCTCCTGGCTCTAAATCACACAAGTGCACCCTGTTGGAATTGGGAGAGGTCTGGAGGAAGCACTGAGCTGTCAGTGAATTTTTTCTCTCTTGCTGCAAATGGACCTGAGCTCAAGCTTCAAGAGCATCTAACTCATGTGCATTGCTTCCAACTCTCCATCTGCACAGAGGATCTGGCCTACTGGTATTTCTCCAGGGATGAGATAGTGGCAGACACAGAGAGTCCTGTCTCCTACTGGAGATGGGCATCAGCGACTGGTTCAATTTGATTTTCTTCTCCCTTCTTTGGCTCTAGGCTTACTGCCCTTGTCCTCAAGACCTTCAGCCAAGCCCGGGACTTCATCCACATAGATGAGCAGAATATAAAGGATGCTGCCAATGCCCTGATTAAAAGTCAGACTCCATCTGGCTGCTTCAAGAGTGTGGGAAAGCTCTTCAACAATGGTCTGATGGTATGACATGTCCTGGCTCTTCATTAGGTACCTCAGAACTCCTTCACTTTCTGGCCCAATTTGGGTGCCAAGAACAAATGAACCCTACTGCATGAGGGGGGCTCTGATGTGCCCTTGGGTGACACTCAAGGTTGTGCTTAGTCATGGTGGCACTTTTTCAAGTTACAAATGATGGAGGTTTGGATTTGATGATATGCACATGGGAACTGAACCAGTGCCCTGCCCTAGCCCCATCTCAAAAGCTAATACATGCCTCAAAAAAAAGTTTTCAAGCTGTGTGTTATTCCCTTGGTAAACTGGTTTAGCTTCCTTTCCCATTATTGAGCTGCCGTTTCTTCCTTCAGTCTGAATTCCCCCCCTGTACAGAGAGAGTCAGAAATGGAGTGAATGGAAACTGATGGCAGCCACTCATGAGAGATTCACCTTGCCATGGATGTGCCCTATACACTCAGAAACACAGCACTTGTGCATGCAGAGACACACACAGAGTACCACCAAAGTCGAGCCAGCAGTAGTTCGGTGGATAGGACTTCAGATAATTAATCCCCTAAGTGAAGAGAACAGTACCTTTCACTTCCCCTTGCAAAAGATACCTTTTCTTTTGCTCCTCCATACCCTTGCCACTGTCCTGGCCCTCAAGTCAGATGCCACCTTACAGCAGGTTTGTGGGAACATCACTTTCCCCAGCACTGAAATCTGCTGCTGAAAATCTTTTGCAGGGGAGGGGAAAGGGGAAGGTGTTCAGCAGAGGGAGAGAGTCAGCTACCCAGAGGAGCTTGGGGCATCATGGCTGAGAAGTGCTTTGGTTAGCAAGACCTGCAAGAGTAGATACCAGCCCTGGCACCTCCTTAGCAGAAGGAATAGGACCAGCAGTGTTGCCTGTGCTGGCTTTTGCTCAGGCACCAGAAGGCACTGGAAAACTTCTCGCTCTCCCTTCTCACAGCAGCCCTCCTTTTCTCTGTTTTGCGGTGGCTGCAGGGTGCAGTGGAGGAAGGACTGGGGCTGAGCTCTGCGATCATCACAGCTCTCATACACTCAGGGATGCCACGCTCCGTGAGTATCGGCAGCAGGGGTGGGCTCTGTGTGCAGCCTCTCGGCAGGGAGGGCACTGATGCTCTGCCTTTGTGCATGCAGGGCTACGTTACCAGTTTCCTCCCCATGTGTCCTGTCCCTGTTTCCACGCTCCTCTGCACACATCAAGGCTGCATTCCCTCCTATACACCCTGCCAGCAACCGGTGTGCTTTCAATTGTATCCTAGGACCCAGTTGTATGGAAAGCTCTGAAATGTATAAAGGACCTGGTCGATGCTGATACTGACAGTTCCAACCTCTACAGCCTGGCACTAGCTGCAAATGCCTTTGCAGTAGCAGGTGATAAGGCCCTCAGGCAGAAAATCCTCAAAAGATTGGATAATGCCGCCATAATATCAGGTACCAAAGACTGTGGGGCAGGAGAGAGGGCCATTGGCAGAATTTTGTAGGGATCCGAGGGCTGAACAACCAAGGGAATGGCGGGCAGGAGTGGGGGGCACTGGCAGAGCTCTGTGGGGAGCCCAAGGCTCAGATAACCTCTGTTTGCCAAGCTGTCACAGGCTATAGCCATACAGTGAGACAGACTTTTCTCTATGGATGATCTCACAGTCCTGGTCTCACAGTCATTCAAATTAGGAGAGCTTCATGGATGTTGTAGAGCTCCTTCCCAGCCTGCAGGCCTAAGATTTTACTGGGAAAAGCAGGGTGTGGCGGGCTCTGTATCTTGTCCCAATGCACATGTTCATTCAGTACCTAGGCACAGGGGCTTTGCAGGACTCTAAGGTCATTAGATACATCTACACACTCCGTAAGTGTTCCCACTCCACCTCTAGATGACCAAATATTCTGGAGCCAACAGTCAAAACAGGAAGAAGACTCCCTATATTGGTATCGGGCTCCATCTGTTGATGTGGAATTGACCTCTAGTATCCTCATGGCTCACCTTTCAAAGTCAAGTTTGTCTTCAGATGAAATCAGAAAGGCATCCCAGATTGTGTCTTGGCTCACCAAGCAGCAAAACCCTTATGGAGGCTTTGCTTCAACCCAGGTAATCCCCTTGAGACATCATCATCAGAGAACCTGCCGTCAGCTATGGTTTGTGAGAGCAGTGAGTTCTAGCGCAGCCTATAGTAAAAAAGAAAAAAGATTTATGGATTTACAGTTCCTGGGAGTTGGGAAAAGGTGAATATTTGTATTCTTCTCAGCTAATCCCATGCTAAAAGTCCAAGGGGAAAGCTCAACACTTATTGTGCTCTAGCTGCAGTATGAGGGAGGGAAAGTCTAAGGACTGGGCATGCATAGGAAGCAGGGATCCTATTCTGCCCAATGTGTGTCTCTTTCCTCAGGACACAGTGGTTGCTCTGGAAGCCCTAGCCCTGTATGCAACCAAGACTTTCAGCAAGGATGGCCCTGACCTTCAGGCTTCTCTCTCCTCTGAGGGTTTCAGCCAAAACTTCAAAGTAGACAACACCAATCGCCTCCTGCTGCAGAGAGTGGAGCTGCCAGCCATTCCCCAAGATTATACCGTGCATGTGCAGGGCCATGGGTGCCTCTTCCTGCAGGTAAGCCCAGCCAGGGAGAAAAGGTCTGTCTGGGGAAAAACCTTGAAAGCCAGGGGACCTCTCACCTTGCTATTGAGCCAACACTGAAAACAGATTGCTGCAGTGACTTGCAAGAATCTGGGCTTCAAGGCTAGTAGGAGTAGCTGGGATCCAACAGCAATTCCCCAAATGAAATCTGGATCATCTCCACCCAGTCAGAGCTGTACCGCTCCTCCAAGAAGTCCAGTGAGCACTACCAGGAGCAGTGCACTAGCAGACCCTCTGCTTCTGCCACATAGTTTTCTCTTACACCCATGCAAGACAGCAGGCAGCAGCCAAACACTAGCCAAGGATACTCTCCAGCAAAAAAACCCCTGCTATTCTCTGCAAACTAGCTTCTTTCTGTCCTGGCAGGCCACTCTGCGGTACCACATCCCTCCGCTGAGGACCGACGTCACCTTTGCCATGTCTGTGCAGACAGAGTGCACCGCACCCAACGCCACCCAGTTCCCTGTCACCGTTCATGCTCGGTAGGAGACACTCAGTTGTCCCTTGCCTCCTCTGTGCTAAGAGGCTTCTGGCACCACACCAGTCTCTTGCTGGCCAGGATTTCCCTTCACTCATGAGGTCCAAGTGCTAAGATGTCCCCATTCGTTTAACTATGGTATCTTCAGTTGGGTGAAAGGTACCAGGCCCCAGAGGGATGGCTCAGGCTATAGTCCTATCTCATTATCATGCCAGTCACCACAAGTTCTCCCAAGGTCTATGGGTCCCACCCCCTTCTAGGACTAGGTCTCAAAACACTAGTGATGTGAAGGTCATGTGGGACTGACTGCTGACACTTATCCCTAAGTCTTCCCTCTGCTCCTGGTTGACTGTCACTCCACTTTCCTCTGCTGTACCCCTGCCTGACTTGGGACAGAACTGCCAAGGGAGCAGGCGGAGGATGTGATATTCCCTGCCATGCCTAGAGAAGGTAACTCCAGAAGCCTTCCAAGGAATTTATTCTCCTTGGCTCAGCATAATTGAAAGAGAGATCAGGGAAGCACAAAGATCTATTACTGTACAGGAACAGGTATGCTTACAGGAGAAACACTGGAAGGAAAGGCAGATTCCTCCACCTGAGTACCAAAGCTGGGCTGGAGTATCTGGAGATCATGGGTCAGAAAGTAACATTAGTGCTGTCCCCTGGGTTCCTGCTGCAGCTACACAGGGAACCGTGTGTCCACCAACATGGTCCTGATCCAAGTGGAGCTGCTGTCTGGATACAGCCCCGTGGCAGGTTCACTGGAAGAGGTGAGACCGCGAGTTTGTGTCCAGCTGGGATGGGAACAGTGATGGCTGTCCATCATGCAGGATTGTATGCAGAACTGTGATCATTGCTGTGGGCAGAGAAACACCATTCCTCTCTTCCCAAGAAATCTTTATACCCAAAGTCTCTTCCAGGCCACACCTTGCCTTCCCCTACCCCAAGAGCTTCCTTGGCCACGTGAACATTTTTCCCATGTTCTCACAAGGACAAATATCCCTGAATATTTCTGCTTTCTTTTACAGTCTTTCTGACATTTTTCCCCCTATTTTCAGCTAAAGAAAATGCCTTTAGTGAAGAAAGTTGAAAGTGAAGCTGACCGAGTCATTCTTTACCTGGAGGAAGTAAGTGGAATTTAGGCTAACTTCATTATTAAAAGGACTATGGACTGGCAGATAGCTTTTGGCTTACTCTTGCATCTTGGTTCTATTAGTATTTTAAGTATCCAGAGCTGTTGTTCCTGCATACCAGCCACATTTGCTGACCTGGAGAAGTGTGTTGTGTCAGCCTGCAGTAGTTCAGCAGTAGAGCCCGTACACAGGGCGGCTCAAGTGAAATGAGGCTAACTCTGATGTTAAGCCTACATCTGTTGGCACTGTTCAGACACTGTTCAAAGTCCATATACAGTGTCTGATCAGGATTGGGGAGTAGTAGTAGTATCCAACTTGTAAATTAAGCCCTTAGAAAGCCCTTAAGCAGCCTGAATGTAGTAGGGAGCATCCAAGATTGCTTATGGAGTTTGCCAAGATCACTCAAAATTAAACCAGATGGTTGTGTGAGCGGCAGTGCTCGCTCCACAGCCTCATTAAGCAACAGATTAACAACCCCTCCAGCTACATGCATACCTAAACAGCATCAGAAACAAGACCTGGCAGGAATTTAAAAACTTCAGAATTTCCGAGAAGCGCTTGTACATTTCTGTGATTCTTCATCCCCAGTTGTCAATAAGCTGAGCTAAGCTAGCCTCATTGTAAGCAGGTTATTGTCATGTGGATGCATTAGGCTTGCAGAGACACTGCTTTCGTTACATCTAGAGCACAGAGCAGAAAGGCAGCACAGAGAAAGATTTCAGTTCAGGCTGCCAGGTAGCACAAGGTAGAACCCAATCAACAGCAGGTCACATAACTTCTACCATCCACACCTTGCATTTGTCTGCTTAATGATGAGGGTTGTGTGAGACTGGAGAATAAGAGCTAATGTAATGGGGCTGTGTATAAGAAAGTAGCCACTGAGGCAAGATGCATGAAGGAGCTCAGAGCAGAGCTGGATGGGAATGTGGGATTGGTTGGGAACACCAGTGCTACCTTTAGATACCTAATGCACATTGACTCTGTGGGTCTGATGTCTCTCATGAGCTGAGTTACATATGGTGACAAAAAAATGGGAGACGGCCACAGAATGTCAAGTAAAAGATATTTCCGAGATGGACTGGAAAGCAGAACAGATCTGTCATAGTGGTGAGGTCTCCACAGAGCCTGAGTGAGACCAGGTGGAAGGGATGTCTTACAGGACTTTGGTTCTGGCTGTAATCCTTGCATCTCTTTGTCTTAGCTGACTAGACAGCCTCATACCTACACTTTGCTGGTGCAGCAGGACATGCAAGTGAAGGATCGTAAGCCAGCTACTATCAAGGTCTACGATTACTACATGCCAGGTAAGCTCAGATGCTGTACTGCAGAAACCACCCAAAGGTACCACCGGAAAGACATTTTCTGAAGTTGTCAAGTCTAAGACAATACCACCCCTGACTTGTTTATCTAACTGCCCCTTAGAAGCTCTCTAGTGATGGACTCGCCCTCCTGGGTTTCAAAATGGTAGATCCTTCTTCCTCTGGTCCCAGAACTTGCAAGCTTGATGTTGGCATGTAGATCCACTTAGGGTCTAACTCTCCCAACAAGAGGGGAGCAAGGAGCTCAGAGCTGTGCTTTTGTACGCTCATTTTGTGGGAGGCAGCAAAGGCAGAGGGACTATAGAGAGGGGATGGCTTAGAAGAGTGAGGCCCCTCTTAGAAGAATGTTACTGAAAACAACTTGTCCTCTGTTCTCTGGGGTCCTAAGTGGGAGGAAAAGCTGGAAACGTGTCAGAGATTGTTATTGCTTCAGAAAGTGAGGAATCCATAACTGTAATGGAGCTGTTTGGGACTTACAGCTTTAAAAGATCGCAAGCCCCATGACTTGGGTGAATCTGGACTAGCTGCACACACTAGTTTTTGACACATACCAGTGGTTTCATGTGTCACAGTGGAGGGGAGTCATGACCTGTAAGCTGAGGGAATGCTGCTCCTAGAAACAAAGGCACAATGCTGGGTTGCTTTAGTGAGTTTTTGGCAAGTATATCTCACCAGCACTCTTTTTCTCATCTTCCAGAAGAAACTGCAGTGATGAGCTACAGTGCCCCGTGCGAGTGAGGTGAGGGCCCAACACCACTTTTGTCATCACAGGCATGGTCCTGAAGAGTATGGAGAGGGAGGGAGATGTGGGCAAGGGCCCTTGGTCAAGAAACTGGCCGGACTGCAGGTTCTGGATAGGAAGTGATTGGCAATGTTAAGTAAGGGTGAGTTCCTGTATGCTAGTGGTTAAACTGAGGGAAAGGAAGAACTGAAGTGGAATGTTGGAGGTGCCCAGCTCATGGCAGAGTTGGAGGTACGTTACAGAAAACAAGGGCTGCCTTTCCCAAGTCCTACCACCAGTCCTGGCATTTTGCATCAAATATACTTTCCTCAAGTCAACACAGTTCCTTTTCCTGGCACTTTCCCTGCAGTTCCACAGCCCTCCAGCCCTGTGCACGCAACACGCCACGTTCACCTTTACTGCAGGGCCTGACTCCTTTTCCGTGCCAAGCCTTTCACAGTCTCAGCCTGGCTTCTGATCTGTGCTAGGGAACCGGAACCTGCCCGTCCTCTTTCCAGGCTGGGCAAAGGCAAAGCTTGAACTTGACCAGTGCCTGCTCCTATTCTAAACTTTGCTTGCATCTGCATGCTTCCTTGCCCACAGCCCATGAGATGGAGAAAAACACCTGCTTCTTGAATCACCTGTGGGAACACACAGCCCTACACTGGGATGCCTGCCACAAGCCCCACACTCTTAGTGGAGATTCTGCTGTAGGCTTTGTATGGGTAGAGTCAGAGAGAGCCCTGTCCTTGATGGTTTGGTGGGCCCGTTTTGTCATGAGGTGCAAAAACCCCTTTGAGTTCCCAGTGGATAGTTTTAATACTTCAGGACCACAGATTTTTTTGTCCTTTGTTGTCTTCACAGGAACAGGGACAGACCCATCCTCTGCAGTCTCTGTCCGTCAGTCCTTTGTCACCCCTGCCAACAGCCACCACGTGGAGATGAGAAGCAAAGAGAAAATACTTGAAATTTCCTGCTGAGCAGTTAGTTTCTGAAAGGCTCAAACTGTGCCTGTCATCTTATTAAAAGTCAGGAGACTAGAACTGTCTGTTTGAGTGATTATTCAGGTTTACTGTTTTTCTCCCAAACCAGGAAAATTGCACTGAAGAGCACCTGGGAAAAATAACTTCTTCGCCTCTGCTCTGTGTGTGCACGTACATGTACGCATGCAAAAACTCTGCCCCTCCAGCAGCGGACTTGCACAGGAGGATGCAGAGCATGCACCAAGGCAGAGTTGGTACCTGGGGGAGGTGACCGTCACACAAGCTGGAGCTGAAGGCAAGGGAAGGCTGGGATATGTTCAACAGTTCCTTTGGCCAACGGTTGCATTTAGAGTCCTTTATCAAGAGCAGTTGGCAATGCTGTACTGCTGAGGCGGGGGTGAGGGGCTAGAGTCTCAATGCACTGCATTACTATCTGGAGACTGCTTCAAAGAAGAGCTGATGGCACAGGAGCTTGCAGGAAGGGCCCAGGAGATACAGCTGTCACAGCACATTCAAGTTGCATCTTCTACTCCAAAACTGCCTGAGTGCTACTGTGGGAAGTATTAGGAGAAACCATGGAAGCATGAGGAGAGAGCAATAGAGCAGCTAGACGGTTTGTACATTGGCAATGGCAGAAATGCTATCTTCACAGTCTAAGCCTGTAGTTCTTCAACAACTGGCACAATGGCAGCAAGGTCAGGGGTCATGCTTACCTTAATTCTTCCCAGGTGTGTACCAGCTATGTGACACCCCCACCCTGCCCCAACCCAGGCCCTCACAGTGCAGGCACAACTGCTGGACTGTTGTGATCCCTCAGTCCATCCACTCAGGTGCAGGACCACATGGGCTCAACTTTAATGTGGGCTGTGTCCCAGCTAGGGCACTTGCTTCCATTCGGTGCCCAAACTGAAATACTGGGCAAAGGCAGGAGTCACGGCGTGGCAGTTCCTCTCCTTTCCTTTATCACGAGTTTGGGAGCTCCTCCACCCCTTTCCGAGGAACCATGTGCAATTGTGGGGACAGGAGGTAAGACAAACAAGGAGGGCATGAGCCAGTCCCTCCATGGCTATCATCAGGCTGTGTGAGGTGCCTTGTCTTGGCTAGTAGTGGGGGTGGCTAGAAGGCAGGTCCCTAGACAGCACTTTCTCTCTGGGATGGTGTCAGGATGCAGCATGTACCATGTCAAATTGTGTCTTATCCTTCCAGAAGGGACTTCTCCAGACCTGTCCTGGCTTCAGGCTACTACTAACAAGCCACCATCCCCCTTCTGGCAGCTGGGTATGTCACCCCCCAAGACAAAATATTACATCTTCCCAGCTTTGGCTTGCTCCTTTGGCTCCCTGAATCCCCCTTTCCTACCCTGCAATGAATATAGTGGGGCATAGAGGGAATAGAGCCGTGTCTGGGTCTGAGGGCCCTCATTAGCACAGGCTGCTATAGCTCTGCATTCTCACTCCATGTAATGCTCAGCCCTTTCTTCCTCACTCTAATTTTGAGACACCCTGTCTCTGCCTTCCACCAGAGCCTTCCAGCTGCCTCCCTGGCTGAAAAAGAGCCCCCCATCCTAGCTCTACACACCTAGCCAGTTCCTCTTTCTAGCTGGATATATGCTCCCCACTGACTACCATCCTCCTTCCCATCTTTGATTGTTTACATTCCCTCTCTCCCACCCAAGACCCATCATTTCCTGATGCCACTGTCCGGGTCACACAGGGACTTGCTGCCTACCTCAACTACAGACAGCACCGTAGTCAGCCAAGGCTCGCTCCTCTGCAAAAGGAAATGAGGAACTCAATTACACACATGTGAATGCACACAGTGAAGAGCACACATCTTTTCCCAGCCAGAGAACTAGGAACACAGCTCCCTACCCCAGAGTAGGAGGCAATCTGCAACCCACCTGGCTGGTAGTAATCGTAGACTTTGATGGTGGCCAGTTTCAGGTTCTTCATCGGAATGACTTGTTCCAGTTGCAGAATAAAAGTCTGAGATTCATCGTTGAGCTTGTAGAGGTGGAAAGAAATTAGCAAGGAAGGGGAGAAAGAAGTCATAGCATCTTCATCTTCCCTAGCTTGAATGTTTTCCTGCACTAAATCTCTCTAATCCGTTAGAGATTCTGGATTTTAGAAATGGAGTATGTGTGAGGAATAGTAAATGCTAACCCAATGACAGTGAAATTGGGGAAGCTTCCTCTGCCCACAGTTCTACCAGTGCTCTTTCCCCATGCCTAGCCCAGCCTTGGGATTCTCACACAGCTCCTTGTCCTCTGGCCTCTTGCTCTCTCCATACCAAATCAAATGCTTTTGTTCCCACTTACCTTCTCCAGATAAATGTAGACCACACTAGCTTTCACTTCTATTTTCTTAACAATGGTTCTGCGCTCCAGCTGGGATAGGAAACAGTAACACAAGGAAATTTGTGAGCACTTTCCTTAGGGCTTCCTGACCTGAGAGACCCCATGTTGCATTGAAGGGATGGTGTGGAGCTGGACTTTGTGTGGAACTGTGCCTTTCTCACGCATAAGGATTTTAGTGGTTATATCTTTTGTAGTCCCTCCTGGACATCGCTCGTGAGCATCTCGGGGATGAACTATGCTGTCCCTGCTCAGTTAGAGGAATCTCCCACTCTGGGGACAAAAGGCCATGCAGATAGTACATAGGACTGATGCATTGGTCAGCAAATAGGTGCAAGCACCAGTAAAGATTCTTGTTATCTCCTCTCACTGACTGCTAGACTGCTCTTAAAGACCTGCCTGGGGGCTGTGCAAATAGCTCATCTTTCAGTTTGATGGCTTAATTGGAAAAAAAAAATCTTTTTGGCTAGAACTAGAATGTCTCTAAGAAATCTAGTCTTAGAATTTCTAGGAAACAAATCCTGGTGTTTAGCACACCCAGAAGCACATTTTATTCCTGACCCAAGGCAGAATAGTGTCAGTGGGAGAAGCTGAACTACCTCAGACCTCCTGTAGCCAACCTCTGTAGGCCATGTATGGAAACGAGAGGTTTTGGTTCAATTACAACAGCAAAGAGCCCCTGCTAATTTAGTTACCTCATGGCCTGAAATGAACAGTTCCCAACAGAAGCAAGCAGGTGGGACCCATTCACCACAGCTCCTTTTGTTTTTTCTTCCAAAGTCCTTACCAACATCCTGGATCCGGGAGCCAGGACAAATCCGGACAGCAGGGAGACCTCCACAATCACCATGTTGGATGTGACTCTGCTCCCGACGTAGCTGAAGAAGCAGAAACGGTCAGAGGGTCTGACTCTGTGAGAATAGTGCCCTCCCAGCCCCCCTTCCCTCCACCACCATACCCTGTGTGCAGGACCCTGAGCCACGTAACCCACCCGGGACCAGGGACACGGCAGCCACTGCTCCCTCTCACAGGAGGTAGCCAGCACCTTCTTTCCCCACTCCTTCCACCTACCAAATTCACCCTCTGTCTTCTCCACCCCAAGTGCCAGGTCCCTCCATTGCAGCCCTGAGGCTTTCCCTGCTGCTATCCCCAAGCACAGCGTGTCTTGCTGGAGGAGGACACAACCCTCGGAGTCACCTGGTGAGGATGTGGACGGCGAGGACACGTGCGTTGGCTTGGCTACAGTTGATCAACTCCGTGTTGACACGCAGAGTGAAGGTTACAGCAGCCCGCGGGGGAGGCTCGTGGTACCTCAGCACTGTCTGCAGGGCGAGGGCCAGGAGGAGAAAAGACAGGCCAGACATGATCTCATGCAGGGAGAAGAGGTAGAGTCCTCCACCTCCCCTCTCTCCCACGCTTGTCCCACCACCTCACCTGAGCGAAGACACAGCTGCTGCCGTGGACCTGCACCAGGAGCTGCCCCGAGACCTCCGTCAATGCTGCCTGCTGCACCAGCAGCCGCTTCTGGCGGTTGACTTGGAAAGCCTTCCCAAAACCCCTCTGGGACTTCACCCTCACAAGCGCCTGGCCTGATGTGCTGAACGTCCTTGTTGCGTATTTTGCTAAGGCTTGCAAGGCAACGACTGTGTCCTAGAAAGGGAGAGACAGCCACCCCCTCTGA